AACTCCAGAACCTGTCAAGTAGTTATTACTTCGTCTGAGGAAGAGGAATCTGAGTAATTCCAAACAATTCAATGTGTGGTGGTTAAGTATAGGCCGATTATGTTGAGGTGGTCGGGTTGGAGTGGCCAGCTCGCTTATCTGGCCAGCTCGCTTATCATCCACGTTATTCTTTCTATCTATTCCTAATAACTAACTTCTTCTAGATCTTCTTAGGCCGTCGCTAGAGTATTTAAGAACCTCTTCTTTATTCTAAAATAACGCTCGTCTTATCGCTCTAAATAATGTTCTTCTAATTCTCGAGAGTCTAATCCTTATAAGCTATATAAAAGGCGAGTCTCGCCTTCTTCTAAGAGCTATTTAAGCTAGGTTTTCTTATTAGTTTTATCTTTAAGAGTCTATTACTATATAGAGTACGTAGTACTAATAAGGAACTAATACCGTGTTTATAGGCTAAAACCTTACTTGATTTCTTACGACTATATCTATCTACCTAAACTACGTCGAGAATAGTGTTCTTCGTCTTCTTACTTATCTCTCTCGGCCGACCTAACTTATAGCTATTCTCTATAAAATACGCGAGAATTTTAATATCCTTATTAGGATCGAAACCTCTCTATTTAGTCTTCTTTAATAACCTTTACGTAGTCTACGGCGGAACGTTGATTTTCTTAAAAACCTCCTAAGCTGAGTAACCTATAATAAAGAGAGTAAGTACTTAAATACGCTTAGTAATAGAATATCGAGTACCGTGATCTACCTAAGATATCGCTTATAAGAGAGAACGCTATTAAGAAGAAGTATCTTTATATCTCGGCCGCTTACTTTCTCTCTCTTACGCCTATTTAGCTACTAAATAAGAAATAGAGGAGGGTATATTAATAAACGCTAATCTTTAAGAGTCTTAGGAACGACCTAAGGACTATCTATACTATAAATAGCCCTTCCTACGTAATAGAGAGCCTCTAACTACCGCCTAACTACCTTTAAACTACCTCTTAACGTCGAAATAGCGGTTAATATCACGCTCTGTTAAGAGTACTATTAAGAGTACTATTAAGAGCACTATTAAGAGCGAGGCGTCTAATTGATAGAATAGCGCTAATCTAAATAGGATACCGTTTATAATAGTAACGATAAAATCATAGTTATTATACTTAGCGCGAGGAAGATCTAACTATCGAGAGTATTAACGACGTCGATTTAGCCCTGAAAAGAGCGGTAACGAGCTCACCGCTCCTACCCCTACCTACTAAGCCTCTAGCGCTATACCGGCGCGATAATCCTGTATTAGCGTCATTGGCTCCACTATCACTACATTTGGTGCACACCTCCGTACACTGTACGGATACTCTGTACTCCGTACAAGGCGGCGTCAACCTCTTACCGAAACGGGGCGAGTCGCCAATAACTGCCGCCAAAATTCTTGACATCCAACTACCGACGACATTGGGTTTGGTACGAGTATCAGTCAACCGAGCTCGGCAATCAGCATGGAAGCAGTCAGAGATCTCTGGTTGCGATGGAAGATGTTGAGGTTGCCGTGGCGGAAGAAGTTCCTGATAGGTACGTGTGCCTCATGGCAAGGCGAAGCAAGCATGGAACCTAATGAGAAGCAGGTCAAGATCTCCAGGGAAACACTTTCTGGGAATTCAAAGACACCCTCAACCCTGGTCGATGGCGGCGTATAGTGAACACCAACCGCCGAACCCATTTCTCTGATGTTCAAATCTCTCCTCAATGGCATCAGTGGCTGCGACAAACCCGCGCAGATGCCCCGAGTCTACAGGAGCAGGCGGCAGACATCCAGAGACAAACCTTGTTGAAGCATAATGCTCAGCTTGCTGACAAGAGATGGGCGGAAAAACCAAGATACATCGAAACTCCCAACTCTGCCGCCACAATTCCCTTGCGTGCTGCCCCGGAGATAGACAGAGCCAGCGCAGAATTCATGCCAGGCCAACCTCCTCAGTTACAGAAGACCAGAACTGCCGCTGAGACCGCGGTACATCCGCCAGAAGCTGACTCTCTCAAGAACACACAAGAGACCGGAGCCAACCCGGGGGCCAACTGGCAGCCCCAACCATGGTTGCCTGGATCTGCGAAACGATGATACTCGACGGTTATGCCGATTTTGTGAAAGGGAGACACCGCCATCAATATCTCCCTAGAGCCAGGAACCAGGAAAGCCCTCAGCCTCGAACCCAGCCATGTACGCTATACTCCTGACTTTCAGTGATATCGGGATGCTCCAGTCTGGTTTCCACTGTCACCTCCGAAGCGATTACCTTGGCTGCCATTGCGGCCTTCTAGCATGTACTGCACATATCTCCAGACTCAGCACTCCGGAACGGACCTCAGGGATACAATGCGCTATTCAACTTTGGTCGCCGACGAAATTCTGTGAAATGGTGATCTATTACTAGGAAATATGCCCAGCAGGGCCCCAGTTACTACTCTGCGACTATGCCACTGTTCGCTATACGAGTGCATCGATGTGACGACGTTGGAGAGCATTGTTGCATCGGGAAGTGTGCCGTTTGGGGGAGCGATATGACCAGGCTGTGCAAGGGATCTGAAGCAGGAGCCAAAGGATTCCGCGTTTCGAGTTCTATTGACTGCCTCTTGTTCCTTTCGCCGCCTTCACCTAGCTCCTAAGACCTGGGAACCCATACCCCCCAAGCCTGGCACAGCAAACCTTCTAGTCTGCCACGATGGATTGGACGCCTCGGCTGTGCACCGAATTGCCGACGTGGTCTCTTTGTCAAACGCGCATCAATGTTTCTGAACCTCTGAACAATCCTATACCCTGAGACTGAAAGGCACCATAAGAAGCTACGCTCGCAGGATCACTGAGGCACGACGGGCACGGAACATGGGCTACGAATGGTTTCCAACTTCATGCTCCAAGATACACATGGGACCAATCGACTCCAGGCTTTGTGACCAGCCGAAATTTGCTGAAGAATGCTGCATCTGTCATCGTATTTCAGACGACATGTCTTGGTCCCGGGAAAGCGCTATTATTGCTACAACAAACCCTTCGGACAGTCACCTACGACGAACCATGGGGCCTTTGGGTATGCTGGTCCTCTGTCTACTATTTGTACATAGCAGTCAAGTCCACATCCAACGTTTCAGGGGCTGTGCTGCCGTTCTTTTAAGGCCGCTTTGAAAGTCGCAGACACGAGAGACCTAGTGCAGACTCAAACAACGGTATCGAAGGCTTGACTTCAATGACGGGCAAGAAGATCCCAATTTGGGGTACAGGGGATCTTCGATATGGCGAGACCGACCTCTGCACACCAGTTGAGGAGAATGTTATGCCTTACCCTATTTTCCCGTACCAAGGTCACCGTATATGTTTGCACTTCTTGTTAGAAAGAGTTCATAGTTGATGGCTGGTTAGTGAGTCGCCCTTCGGCTGCCTTTCCTATCCCGTCAAATTTTCATGTGTCTCGCAGTTTACCCTCACTTGCTTTTGATATCCAACACCGACCGATCTTCCACAGATCGGTCAAGTTTCACAAGATCTTCTGCAAAAGCATCCTGTCGCTTCCTGCATCTATCTAAGACACTGCAGTACGCAAGAAGTGCACAGATACCTTTGTCATGGATCAAGATCGACGCCCTCCTGGTCAAGATACCACCGGAAAAATGATGGACAAACCAACCCGACTCCTTCTTCGACCGGCAATTTACGCAGTCCGCTCTCCTCCAGCAGATTTCACTGGTGATCCAGAGACCGGCCTTGCTTTTGTAAGTTGATTCATGCATTGTGAATATGCATCCATCTACCCTCATGTGACGGCCTTCTATTCACCTCTATTCACTGTATGGAATTGTCGTTTGTATGGATCCCTACTAATCATTGAATTTAGTACATCTGCTCTGTTAAAGGCTGCAAGAACATTTGGGGTCTCCAGTGGAAGCTGCCGAATGAGTCGGATGGAGTGGTGAAATGGAGTGAATACAAGGCGCTCGCAACCAAAAAACCTTGCTTGAGATGCATCAAATCAAATCATCACTTGGAAAGCTCGGCCAGTTCTCCGGAAGCGTTGGCAGCTACCACCAACGGTGGCACCAAGAACATCGCCCAAGACGATGCTGAAAATGTCACTAGCGACAACAACACAGAGCATATCATGGACAAGAGCAATGCTGAGAATGTTACTAGTGACAACAACACAGAGCACATCATGGACAAGAGCAATGCACAGCAGGGCGATCTCTGGGAAATTGTCGACCATCGCGAAGCAGAAGAATCCTGGCAGTTTGTGTAAATACCTTTCAGCCAGATGATCCTCAAAGAGGCTGGAGAGGGAAAACTGCGCAGTGAACAAAAGAGCGAGACAGGGTGCGTAAGGCACCAATACCCCTGGGGAATCTTCCCATAGCATCAGCCAACAGGCAACGGGCAAAGAAATAGGCACCTTGCACAAGTATGCAATAACATGGCTTCACACAAATTTGATCAGTGAACAAAAAATTGGTTCTCTCCGTCACGTTGCTTGTCATGATAGTACTGGTTGGCCTGAAGTGTGGAAAAGTTTGCTTTACTTAGACTTCGGCGCAGTCTGGTCCACACACAACAAGGATGGAAGAACTTTTCCTCTACTACGCTGTGCCCATGTAAGCTGTAAGCTCATTCCCACTGATTCTTACCGCTCTGCGTGCGGACAAACAGAGGGTGGATAGCTTTCAAGGTTGGGGACCCCGAGTTGCTCTCTGTATACTCCGTAGAGGTGGAAAGAAACGCATGAAGCAGCCTTACCCCTGTGTTTGGCTCGGGGAAGGTTTATCCGATGCGCCGACCGCTGTCTCAACTGGGCAACTGCGCCGAACCTTGTAAACTGCTGCTGCTACAACACTCCCACTTCATGGACCTTTGCTCCCATAGACCATCAACTCGACTCTAGATTTCGTTCTACGATCCGAAGCGGTTTTCCACGGAGCGTGAGGTGAGGCCGGCAAAAATCATGGCTGTTCAGGGGACTGAGCAGGTGATCCACCGGGATCCTGCCTTGTTGTAAGTTCTCGAACCTAGGCGCCCAAGCAGTACTGCTTTGGCTCCTGCTTTGGCTCAACTAACACTCTTGGAAAGCTACTGGATCCTGCTCCCAATCACGATTGTTATGATTCTCACAGGTGTTCTTCGACATTATGCCACCGTACTCCTCGCCAGCCCTTCCAAGCCGCCTGCCACATTGCTTGAGTCTCGCGAACGACAAGCTCTCATACGTGGGATTAATCTGCGAAACAATGCCGCCGCGGCAATCTCGTCCTCAGCTTTCAACACGCGGAAAGAATATCTCATTGATGGGTACAAAAAGGGCACTTTTCTAAGGGGCGGGGCAGAATCACGAGGTCAAGCGGCACCAAACCCTATGTCTGATCCAGCTGCCATGGAAGGAATGATGGGGATGATGAAAGGAAACATGGCCATGATGATCCCGCAAACACTCATCATGTCTTGGATCAATGCCTTCTTCGCCGGCTTTGTTATTCTCAAGTTGCCTTTCCCTCTTACCATTCGATTCAAATCCATGCTACAGTCGGGCGTTATGACTCGAGACCTGGATGTCAGATGGGTCTCGAGCTTGTCCTGGTACTTTTTGTGCCTGTTTGGCCTCCAGAGCGTGTTTATATTCATTCTCGGCAACGAGAATTCGGCCAGTCAAGTGGCTCAGCAAATGGCTCAAGCAAATCCCGGGGCCACTGCGAACCCTTTTGGTCCCGGCCAAGAACCTGACAAGATGTTTCAGGCTGAAGCAGAGAATTTGGAAGTCCTTGAACACTGGAGTGTTTTGGACGGCGCTGAAGACAGACTGCTACAGATCTATGGTAGCTAGATGGATTTTGTATCCCTAGAGATGGGTTTGTGGGGCCAAAAAACATTTGTCAGGTACCTCACACTGGCCTTCGGAAGATAGAAGCCTTCCTCAGGACGGTGAGACCCGTCCAAGGCAGGACTGCAGCTCCCTGCACCCCAACGGCACAGGTAAATCACCCGCGCCGTCCTTGTCAAATTGAAGGCCGGGTGGAATGCATTCTTCGTCACAAATCGACGGCCGAGGTGGATGCAAAATACAAACAGGAGCAGAGTCTGGCATGTCCTGTGCTGCCGAGTACACCGGAGGACTGAGAGTTCTAAGCACTCCCCATGTTTGATGTAAACTGGTACAGAGGAGTTGGGATCCTAGTTCCAGACAGCTGCCATATATTGCGTCACCACCGCTGAGACTATCAGAAGGTTCGAAGGGAATGACAGAAACTGTACAACTCTTTGACATATCACTGCCGATCGGACAGCTGTTAAAATACAGATTCAGGGCGTTTGAAATTTGTTCACCAGAGGGCAGACTCCGGCACCGAGCTCTTCTAAGGGGTATCGCTTACGAGAAATCCAAGCATGTGCCGTTACACCAATTGCCGCTCGGCGGTGGGGTGATTGTCGAAGAGTGTCAAAGGTTCTTGTCAAGGGCCTTTGCCAACTCGTCCACTTCAGCATCACTCTTCAGAGAGACGGTCATGTCTTCTGCTTCTTCGTCTTCCCTCAAGAGCTTCTCCCGCGCTTCCTCCTCCTCTTCCTCCTCCTGAGCCTCCTCAGCCTCCTCATCCTCTTCCTCCGCGTCACTGTCTTCTCCCTCCAATTCGTCGAGGTCATCCAGACCCCAGTGGTCTTCCGGATCCTCATGCTTGCCACCCTCATCCTTTCGGTCGCTTAGGAGTTCAGCCAGCGCCTCCACGGATGGGTCATCTTCCTCGAACTTGTTGCCGTTCAATTCCACCCGCCGCAGTCTAGGAAGACCGTCCTGGGCAGCTTGTAGGAGAGCTTTGAGGCCAGCGGGATGAATGTCGTTGAACTGCAGCCTGAGAACCTCGATGTCTTTGTTGTTTCCCGAAGTAAGGGCCTCAAACACCTTGGTCGCACCTCTTCCTCCCAGTAAATCATCCCCAACACCTAGCTCCTTCAGCCCGGACCAGCCCCTGATCGCGCTCGCCAGAGCCTGGGCACCCTTGAGCGTGAATGTATTGTCCTGCATATCGAGGACCTCCAGATTGCTGCAGATGGACAGCCCAGAGGAAATTAAATGGGATATTCCTTCCGGCCGAATACCGTTTTGTGTCATCTTTACACTTTTGATACCTGCCTTGTGTGCCTCGTACGCCTTTGCCCAGGCAGCCATGCTCCCATTCTCCAACCGGTTCCTGCCACAGACAATGCTTTCCAAGTGTGGAACGTCCTTGCCCTCTTTTCTTGCTTCATCTTTTCGCTCAGCGAGTGTCACCAGTGCCTCCGCGATAGAAGTCCCGGCGATCGGACCCATGCCATTATTATTCAAGATGAGATGCTTCAAAGGGACATGCTTGGACAGGAAATCGACTAGAGGGTCCTTGGTGTTGAGACCAAAGGCGTTATCGCTGAGGTCAATCGTATGGAGGTGAGGGCATTGTAACAAGGCGGTCAAGAGGGAAGACAGAGCGGGAGGAATCTCCTCAAGTAATCTGGAGGTGAAGATATCGTGTAGATCGGCACTCTCCAGGGTCGACTTGGACGCCAAAATGGGCGCGAGAGCGGCACACGCGGCTACACCGAGCGTATTTCCTGACAGATCGATGTGAGTGACAGAAGAGGACGCCACGAGTGGCTGAATATGTTTTTCGATATCCTCTTTCGTATCGAGTTTCAAGCCTTTACCGGCGAGCGAGAACGTTTCCCCCGCCATACCTTAGAGTCTGGGATTCGTTAAGCCTATTTGGTCTTGGGATGGAATTGCAGAGGGGATGGTTGGGACTGAACGGGAGGGGGGGGCGATCCAAAAACAAATGTTTATCATGCCTTTTCGAGCCATGGAACCAAAGGGCTCACTCAGGCTCAGGCCCAGGCCCAGGCTTCCTAAGGCTCGGGAAGCTCGCCGCTTTAGCCACCCCGGGCTTGGCGCATGTAACTCCGCGTCTGGCTTTCTGCGACGTGTCGTCGAGGGGACAACTCCGGGTACGTGCCGCAGGACATCTACCATCGAGGAGGCGTCATGCTCGGAATGAAGAGTCTTTGGATCTTCAGTGCTGCCCTGAGTCTTACATGCTGCCTTGCCAGCGAGAGTGTGTTCAGCGTTAACGACGATGTCTTCGCCTTTCCACAGGTACGATGTTTCTGCCGGCTGGGTGTCTCCCATGCTCACATCTTCTAGTACGGCATAGAATTCCTAGACTCGTACGTCCTGGAGTCTGAGGCCCTCGCTTATCTACCTTCAAAACAAAAGGTACCTGTCCAACGGTCGAACCATGCGCCAGTCCAGTCCAGCGACGTGTCTCCGCATCTGGACCATCCAGAGTCTGACGGCGATTCGCCGGAAACGGGTGCCGACTCCCCTGGAACATACGAACTCATCCTCCTCCATGGCTACCCTCACCTCTGCTTCATACCTGAGGCCAAAGTCAGCAAGCGCAATGACACCGCGCCGGAACCCTCTGCCACAGACCGAGAAAAGGAGCTGGATCGCGCAGTTAGCAGAGCGTCGGAGCTGCTCCAGGGAATGGCCTCGAACCAGTGCCTCTACTATTCGACCGGCTGGTGGACGTATTCATTCTGCCATGATGCGCAGGTGACACAATTTCATGCCCTCCCTCCGGGAACGAATGGTAGAGTCTGGCCGCCGCAGGAAGATCCCACAACACCGAGCTACGTCCTGGGTAAATTTAACCATCCAGGCTCCAAAGGCTCCTCTCCACGTGCAAAGCCAGACCGTTCCCCCTCCACCGAAGTGAGGTCCAAGGCCGAGACCAATTATTTGGTTCAGCAGCTAGAAGGTGGAACCCCTTGTGATCTTACTGGAATCGACCGTAAGGTTGAGATTCAATTTCATTGCAATCCCCAATTGACCGATCGAATTGGTTGGATCAAGGAGACTGCTACTTGCTCGTACCTCATGATCATTTATACACCCCGCCTTTGCAACGATGTTACTTTCCAGCCGCCAAAGGAAAGCCGTGTCCATTCACTCAAATGCCGAGAAATCATATCGGAAGATGATGTTCCTTTGTGGGAAGCTCGTCATGAGGAAGGTAACTCGCGACCGACTCTCGATCAAGGTCAGACTCAGCAAGTGTTCCTGGGGAACGTGGAGCTAGGCGGAATGAGATACCTGGGCCGTGACGGCAAAAAACTCGAAAAGGGTCGCATAGTGCTGACTCAAGATGAGAAGGCCGAGACTGTGATCATGCAGAAAAACGGCCACATTTCAAGTCTCTCTAAGGCAGAGCTCAAAAAGCTTGATCTTAGCCAGGAAGATGTTGATGCGTTCCGCAAAGAGCTGCAGAAACTGGCGGGTGCAAAAGACTGGAAGATTGAGCGACTGGATGATGTCAACGGCCACGTTCAACTGCGCGGTGTTGTCAGCGCTGACGATGCTGCCGAGGAAGAAAAAGAGATCCAAGAGGCTTCTTCTGAGGACGACCCCGAGGTTCCGGGTAGTCAAGAAGAATACGTCGAAGAAGTGTGATGGCCAGCGCATACCGACATCCTCTCTCTTTTTTATGTCCCTTGCAAGAACTACAGGCCAACCCGCCCTGTGGCCCCGGTAAAGGTCGAATACCATACATGACGATAATCATCACGCGTCAAGGTGCGGTCGATTTTTGGCCAAGGTTGGTGATGGGCACTTGGGCGGGTGCATGCTATCCAGCCTCGCTGGTTCACACAGATTCTTGGTGGAAGTGATTGCCGCTTTCGAAGGATATGATTCAGGATCCGGCCGGAGTGATGATCTACCAGTTGATGATTAAGCATTGAAGGTGTATTATGCTGCGTCCTGCGACAGTCTGGCCTCGTAACAAGGCTACAGATATAGAACGCAAGACTGCCCATATTTGAGCCCGCGGGAGCACATCGTTGGCTACTCAGATGTCTGGCAGAGCAAAGGACTTTCAGCCATTGTGGCAAGTGCAGATGCAGCCGGAAGGAAAACCAGGCCACGGAACACATATGCATTCCAGGGGCGAAATACAATGAGATGTCTCCCCCATATTTCATGTCTACCTACTTTATCCTCCTACTCGTGCACGCTTCCTTTTCCTATTCGTCCCATTCTGCAAGCATCTTGATGGTGCCGGCATTGCAGTACTTCCAGGTTCTATGTAGCGTAACCTGGTGCAGATGCAAGGCTGTCCTTGCTGTGTTCTGTGAGCAAGGCTACATCGTAACACCCGCCGTAGACATGACACGTGATAAGTGCGCCACCCTAGAGTTCTTGGGGCGATCAGTGCTTCTCCAAACGCAGCTGCAGCCGGTGTTGTACTCCGTCCACCGGGCCTCCTAAGCCTAACATTGACCTGCCGACCTCTCCCAACTCTGAAGCATTGCATGATTCAGCAACGGCTGCTACGACCTCGACCTCGACACTTGTACATCTACCAAGCTTGCCGTTGCACTTTCGGTGAGGCAGGCTCATCGGACATTTTCCGCAGTCCTATTTATCGCTTGGCTCGCATCATTCGGCGGCGTTTGTCCCAGGAGATCTTACTGCTTTGTTTCGCTTAACTAGCCAGCACCACCACCAAGGAACGGCCGCTCCCAATTTCCTCGACCCCGTTCCATCCGGTCATATTGTTTCACCTTCATGGCATTTCTTCCTTCGCCAGTCCTCTGACGCTACCCACTGACCAGTACGGCACCATCTGTCCACAAACATGGGCTTCGTGGCTATCTGCACCGCAGTCTACGACTACCATCCACAAAGCGCAGGCGAGCTGGAGATCCGGGAAGGCGAACTCTTGTACATTCTGGAAAAGAGCACTGAAGATGACTGGTGGAGGGCGAAGAAGAAGGCCGTCGGAGACGATGAGGATGAGCCTGAAGGCTTGATCCCAAACAATTATGTCGAAGACGCGAAGCCTGTCCACACTGCCAAAGCGCTGTATGACTATACTCGACAAACCGACGAAGAGGTCTCCTTCACCGAAGATGCTGTGCTGGCAGTATACGATATCTCCGACCCCGACTGGACTCTGGTCGGCGTGGGTGACGATTTCGGCTTTGCGCCCTCCAATTACATCGAGCTCACAAGTGCAGCTCTTCAGTCTCCTTCAATACACTCTAATCGCCAGTCGCTCCCGCCAGTAGCGGAAGGCGATGTCTCTGCCGCTCCGGCTTCTCCGACCAGGTCGACACAGAACCCTGCGGCTAACCTGGCTCGAGTCCTTGAAGGAGGCGCTCTTTCCTCGCCGAGGTCGGCCCACACGGTTACGTCTCTGCCTCCGGTCGTACCTCGTCAACAGCTTACCCCAGATGCATCCGACGGCGAGGAGCCCGCGCCGGCATTGCCACAAAGGCCTCCATCGCAGCCGGCGCCACCCTCGTCGCGCCGGGACGACGGATCTCGGGGCGTTCTTCCCTCCCCTCCTTACAATCGAGCAATACCGCGTCAGAACGATGACGATGCGCCGATCCGATCGCCCGGCGGATTCCACCTGTATAATGTCAATGAAATGGTTTCGGCAATGGGCCGACGTCGGAAGATGCCAACGACTCTGGGCATCAATATCGCCACCGGCACCATCATGCTTTCCCCGGAGAAGTCAAGAGACGGGCCTTCCCAGGAATGGACTGCAGACAAGATGACCCATTACTCGATCGAGGGCAAGCATGTTTTCATGGAGCTGGTTCGACCAAGCAAGAGCCTCGACCTCCATGCGGGGGCCAAGGACACGGCAGAAGAAATCGTGGCCGCTCTTGGAGAGATTGCGGGAGCTCATCGAGCAGAGGGCATTCGCGAAGTCATCCAAGCAGCTGCTGGTGGTGCAACTCATAAGAAGGGGCAAGTCCTTTATGATTTCATGGCCCAAGGTGACGACGAGGTCACCGTCGGCGTAGGCGATGAAGTGATTGTTTTGGATGATACAAAGTCGGAAGAATGGTGGAACGTGAGACGCTTGAAGAATGGCAAAGAAGGCGTCGTGCCTAGCAGCTACATTGAGGTTACGGGCTTCGTCACTGCCGAGCCTCCTTCGCGGTCGGGAATAAATGCTGGTCTCTCAACAGTCGAACAGAACCGGCTTGAAGAAGAGAGGCTTGCCAGAGAGGCAGCCCGGACCGAAAAAGCCCGCCAGGAAGCAGAACATGCACGATCCCGTAGCGATCTCGGCCATGGAATGCTCCCTCAACGTGGTAGCAGTCTTGCCGACGACCAGTCGCACCGAAAGGACCGGAAAGACAAGGACGACCGGAAAAAGGGCCGCTCAAGGCCTGATCCTACGAAAGTCAGGACATGGACTGACCATTCTGCCACTTTCAAAGTAGAAGCCCAGTTTTTGGGAGTGGCAGATGGCAAGATTCATCTCCACAAGGTCAATGGCGTCAAAATTGCGGTTCCCATAACGAAAATGTCGCCAGAAGACCTTGAGTATGTTGAGAAGGTAACCAACGAGCCGATCGAAGAAAACATTCCCGTAGCTGATTTGATCAAGATGAAACGTCGAAGTCAATTGTCTGAACAAACGAAGTCACGAAGCGGAGCCACCATTGAACCGCGCGCCCCGGAACAACCCTCGGTTTCTGATTACGACTGGTTCGATTTCTTCCTCAAAGCCGGTGTCGGTCCACAGTTGTGCGAGAGATACTCACAGGCGATGGTACGGGACTCGATGGATGAGACTGTCCAACCCGACATTACACCAGATACTTTGAGAACACTCGGACTGAAAGAAGGTGATGTCCTCAAAGTCATGAAATACTTGGATCATAAATTCGGGCGAACACACGGTGCGCTGGCCAATGGTACTAATGGCGAGGCGGCAGGCGGAATATTTTCAGGACCCGGTGGCACATTGCACAATAACACTCGCAGGGGCAGGCCTGAAACTAATCGGCAGACGAACGACGTGGTTGATCCAGATGCCTTCGCCAAAGCCGAAGCTGACAATAAGCCAAGTGCAGAGGCCAAAGCTACCATTCTTACCCAGGCACCCCAAAGGGAATCAAAGAACGGATTTGACGATGATGCGTGGACTGTCAAAACACCAAGTCAACCTCGTGCAGTCTCACAACCTCCTGCTGCTCCTCCCGCGCCAAACCCTCCGACAGGGGCGATGAAAGATTTGTCCTTGCTGGATGCTCCTCTACAGCCCACACCAGCTCAACCTCCTGCGCCACCAGTTACACAACAGCCAACGTTTCAAACACAACCTGAACCTCAGCCGCACACGTCTTCGGCAGCGGCGGTGCCTCCGGTCCAACAGCCACAGCAAACAGGCGCAACTCCCCAATTCTTTTCGCAAGTCAATCAGATTCCGGGATCGGTACAGGCCCAACCGACCGGGCTGCAAAGCCAACAATTCAACCCCCCTCGTCAACGCCCGGTGGCGCCACAGCAGAACTATGCGGGCACTGGTTTGCTACCTCCTCCACGACCGACATCAGCTCCGCAGAACCCGCAACAGAGCCAGTTCGGTCTTCACCCTTTGCAACCCCAATTGACAGGGATTCCCCACACCTCCGCGCTACAGGCGCCGTCTGGCCAGAGTTTGAATGATCTGACACAGCAACGACTGCAGCAGCAATACCAATCGATGCAATTGCAGGCCCAGCCAACGGGCAATCTTCAGCTGAACCAGTCCTTTGGGCAGTTCGGCCTTGCTCCCCAACCCACCGGTTTCCAACACCCACAACAATTTGGACAGCTTCAGCAGCCCTATCTCAATGGCAATGCAGCTGGAAGCCCATTTGCCGATCCTCGACCCTCTTTCCAGTCTCAGCCCACTGGAATGCCATTCACGCAAAGCCCGCCACCGGGAGGCATCAACTCTGTCCTCCCACCAGCTCTCCAACCACAGCGCACGGGGTTTGCATCTCCTTTCCAACAGCCGCAACCCAACGGATTCGGCCAAACGATCCAGCCTCAACCATCGGGCTTCCCTCAACCAGTCCCTCTCCAACTACAGCCTACAGGCTATCAACCACAACCCCAACCCCAACCCCAACCCCAACAACTCCCGCCTCAAGCCACTGGCTTTGGATCGATGCCACAACAAAACGGCCTCCCAAATTTCCAGCCGCCGCCTGTCCCATCTATCACCCAACTCCCCCCTATTGCGCCTCTGCAGCCACAGAAGACTGGACCTGCCCCTCCTGTTAAATTCGGTTTCACAGAACCAAAGAGACTGACTCCTCAGCCGACGGGCCGGAGAGCAAATCTTTCTAATGCTAGTGAGTAACATCAACAAAATGATTGATGATGACTGACAATGCCGCAGCGGCCCAAAACCCATTCGGATTTTAAACATGTCTGTCTAGACTGCAAGGCCAAGGAGGCTATTGGTCTTGCAGCATTTCCACTGTGCGATCTTGGGGAATGAGTAGATTCGGTTACAAGCGGAATAGTCGCCGGTCATCGGTACCTTGTCTTCAGACGGACATTCACAGCGACAGCAGAGGACGGTAAGACCGTGCCGATCCCGGCTCTGTCTTGGACTTTCCTATCCAGACTGTGATCTCGAGATACGAGGGAGGAGGAGGAAACTTTGCCTGACCCTGGAGGTCGAGAAATGCAGGTTCACTGATTCACGCAGGCCATCCAGTTTCTTCGACCATGTTCAACCTTGTCATAGGTCCACAAAATATCCTCGAAGAGGTGTTCCTCATTGGAGAGCTGTGGTATAGTATCCAGCTACTAGAGACAGCCATGCGCAAAGCTGTGCTCGAAGTACAGCCAGGTGGAGCTGCAATGAAGTATATATTTTTGGAAGCTGATTAATGACAAGAGTTTGGTCGACCTGATTGTTCTAGTTCTTCTACATCTGCGCAGTCATTGCTAGGCCTCTGAATTTCCGTCTACACAGGGGCACTAAGCGTATGTTTTGACCGACTCAACACACTAGCTGCGACCGCTTGGACATTCAGAATCTGTCATGACGCTGAACGGAAGACTGGGCTCCCGACGATGCATCCTCACAGCATGAGAATGGGATGTGATGGTGTCACAAAACTTAAATGACTTACCAAGTCCGTGGCCAGATGCACCTCTAGTCCGAAAAGACCTGTTACAGCTTGACTTGAAACTCTAACTGGTATTCTCCGACAAGACGATCTACGCGCCACGAAACCTTGAGGACCATTTGAATACAGCAGCGAACTCTGAAGGAACACGCGGTGCTCCCTGACCCATATAAACGAGGATGGATGCTCCTTGAGTCAACAAAATAGCCTTCTAGAAGTGGTTCGGCTTGTCTTCTTATATCTCGGTTGAACTCCTTGTCTTACAACGTCAATCTTGACCATCCGTGGCCGAGGTTGACCAAGACTTGTCCTTGTTCGACGAACCACATCCCGATTGTCTTGGTATGCAGGGCACTCAAGACCGAACATGGGTTTCCCCGGCAGAGTCTCAGCATTAACGTGCTCCCCATTGACTCTTTCTGGCAATATGACGACTTTTATCGCACTGTTGGCAGAATTCTTGCTCACATCGTGGTGATGACAAGCAGGGGACGCATCTTAGTCGCCTGTTTCCTTCCCCAAGTTAACTGACAGTGTTTATATCTTCTTGACCATGGCCGTGGCGGATGCGGCTGTCAACAAACAACAGATAAACCAGAAGCCTGAACAACAATGGCTAACTATATGTCCTGGCCCTCACCGCAATTGTGTATTCTCGGATCACAGGACGTTGAGAAGAGGAATCCGCGGGTCGCTGCTCGCCGACAGATGGACACCGTTGGGGAGGCTCAGGCTCAGGAATTGATCCGCCCGGCCCAGGCCCCGCGCGACCCAAGCACACTCGAACTGTTCTATGACCTGTTTTTGGTGGCCAACCTTGCTACTGTCACAATGAAAAACGAGATTGTCGACGAGAGAAGTAAGAGCCGAAGTTGTTGCAGGTAAAGAGCAGAGGCTGATGATTCAAAGGTCTGAGGGCGTATCTGGGATTTTTCACATTGTTATGGTTCACATGGCTGCAGACCATTCTGTACGATGTCCGGGTCTCCAGTGAGTCCGTCTTTCACCACATCCACAAGGCAGTATCTTGTGCAATCATGATGGGCTTTGTGGTTTGTGCGGCCATGTACGATACATCCGACGTTCACTCCACAATCAATGGATTCAAGGCCATGTCGCTTGTACTGATGGTGTCGAGACTGGCCCTTGCTCTACAGTATAGTATCGTCTGCCTGTCTGTTCGCGGCCCTTCTAAGATCCGGACCCCTATGTTATTTACCGCGGGCAGCCTGATCCTTGCCGCGGCCGGCTTTCTGGGCGTCTTCTGGGGGTTTACATATACTCCTCATTGCTATCTGGCCTGGTAATGTTGGCCGAAGAAAGCTCAAGATCAAAAGCTGACACCATCAGGTATGCAATCTCTGCCACGGAAGCGACCTCGATCGTTTTGATTTCCTGTCGGTGGAGAATCTTCAGCTTCAAACGAACCCACCTCCTGGAGAGGCTTGGGCTCCTGACCCTCATTATCATGGGCGAAGGAATCCTGGGGATGTCGCGAACCACCTACCAGCTGTTTCAGACAGTTAACAAGCCCACCGCCGAGAATTTTGGCGAGCTCATATCTGCCGTCCTCCTGGTGGTGAGTAGTTGACGCTGGCTGCTTTGGAGAGTGTCTGTGCTTACGAGAAACAGTATATGATTTTCATGCTATATTTCGGCCACATTGAGCACGACAAGTTTGGCACCATTCGCCAACAGATTTGGATGCTCTTGCACTACCCACTTCATGTCGCCATCCTCCTCACCGTGGAAGGGTCGTCGTTTCTGGTCTTGTCGGGAGTCATCGGCCACATCACCGACGCTTGGGGTAACCTCTACCCCCTTTCCAGCCATCCCGATTGGAATAGCTTTTTCTCAGGGTATCAGAGTGCAAATGAGGTCGTCAGCGATATCTTGATGGACATGGACACGTTGCTTGCACTTACCTTCAAGGACTCGGAAGCCCTGGCCCTGATCAATCTGTACAACTACACAACGGACATAGTGACCGTCGAAACGATTGCTGCGCCCTTTAATTCCACTCAATGGCAAGATGAGGCGAGCAATGCGATCAACCAGCTCTGGAGTGGCGTGGAAGTTGCAATCTACCACAGCTTCGGGATTGAAGGACACGACCCGCACGATCATGAACCATCGTCGATCGAACAGGCAGCGTCGGCACAGAACGTCATGGACACGGTTTTCCTCTACTTTTACTTTTCGGCTGGAAGCCTCCTTCTCGTCCTGGCCATCATGTACGCTTTCTCCAAGAAGAGCCAGAGCCATTCACGCGAAGCCTGGGCGTCGATTGCAGCTCGAATGGTCGTGGGGGCTGGAGTCATGCTTCCGGTCATGGCCCGATGGATTGACACAGATGCGAGCTATTCATTTTACCTAAGTCCTTGGACCATTGCAGTTGTGATGTTGAGCTACTTGACCGGTGAGCCCTGAGAGTCTGCTCGTTCTTTTTGGTACTGCCCTGGCACGTTTGCTAATCCCATTGACATTGACAGTGGTTGTCCTAGACTATTTTATGCGTTGGGTAGCACATCGGAAGCAACCTCTGGTCCGGTCAGTCAGAGAGTTTTTCAGAGTTCTAATCCACTCTCCTATGAAGTGGTGTCCGACTATATAGTAGTATTCGCAGTCGCAGTGTTGCCGACAGTTCTAGACAGGAAGGGCACATCTATGTGTAGTGGGAGAGCCGATCCTGGAGGAAGAAAACTTCTCTGCAATGAGAAAATATTAATGTCATGCAACGGTCTCCTATATTCATGCAACGGTCTCCTATATTCATGCAACGGTCTCCTATATTCATGCAACGGTCTCCTATATTCATGCAACGGTCTCCTATATTCATGCAACAGTCTGCTGTATTCATGCAACGGTCTCTTTTCGCTGCGGTGACTGGATGACAAACATGCCAAGATAGTGACAAACAGGTCAGTTTTCAACCCTTGAAGTTGCAGTTGCATGTTCAGACTCCCATCGGACAAGTCAACAAGCAACCATTCGGACTACTCACGATCCATACACCCAGTGGCAGCTTCTAGGGGCGGCGAGTTTGACCGTTACCAACCTCGAATCTTCTGACCTTCCTGTATCTGTTCACCATGATCTGCTCCAGCTGTCGGCTGACACTCCTCACCCGCCTCCGATTCCCTCAGTCCTCATATTCCGCCAGTCTTCGATATGCGTCCACAGTGCCTGCTACACCCAATGCGGGCCCAATCCAAGCGCCCCCTTCCATTGCGGTGGACGGCGCGAACCCAACACAGTCGCCTGGCTCTGCTAGCCCTTCTCAGCCCCTCTCTGAATCGAAGACGCCCTCGACCTCGGCCGGATCAAAAGAATCAAAGAAGTCGGCAAAAGTCAAGAGCTCCGTCCCCGGTGGACAGATCCTGAGGGGACTGGGGTACACCAAGGCGCAGCCAGAGCTCCTGGCCAAAGAGGACCACGAGTACCCCGATTGGCTGTGGACGTTGCTGGATGACAACAAGATGGCTACAGGAGGCACGAAGCTGGATTTATCAGGTATGCTCCCGTGCCCGTGGGCCGCCGTAAATGGCGCGTCTGCGTTTGCGTTTGCGTCTGCCTACCTGCGGACGTAGGCAGACAGGCCGACGACTGTGCTGACGATGCGTACAGCAATGACCAAGAAGCAACGGGCTCGATATGATCGCCAACAAGAAAAACTCCAGAAGGACGTCCCTGTCACCATCCCACCTCATGAGCAAAGTACAGATTTGACCGCCCCTGACGAAGACGCCGTCACCAGTCTACAGCGCCGACATGAGATCACAAAGAGCGCCCGGGCGGCGAGGAGGAGAAATATCCGCGAGAGCAATTTCTTGAAATCCATGTAAATGGGAACTGGTGGAGGGTAGGAAAATTTGTGTACAGTAATCCAGAGAAAACTTCAAGTGGTCTTTGTCTTCGCGTTCGCCGGCACGTCAAGCATTTCCTTCGGGATTGAGGGCTTGAGATGGTCGTCTCTCTGCTGCCACCACACTCAGATCATTCAGCAAATGCTGGCGTCGAAGGCGGCCCGGATCAACGATGGTTCACCGAAGTACACTCGGGTGCATGGTCGCGACAGTTCAGCGTCCTATTAGGCGGCATGCGAGCCGCAAGTCGATGTCTATGTATATGGTGTTCCGTCATTGTGCAGAAACAGTGTCGACGAACCAGCCAACCTAAACCCCCTCAAAACACTCCGGTTCTCACCCCCAATCGTTCCCATGCCGTCGTATACCAATTCCATATAAAGTTGCATCCCGTCGTGCAAAGTCGTTTCATTCTTCGAGTTGAGCAGGCCTGCCGGGGTATCATGCCGTCATTTTCGCATCTCGTTGATCGGCAGCCATTTCGTGCCGATCAAGTCTGTCCCTTGCGTGGTTGACGTTAACCTACCTCCCCCATTCTTCCCTAACGCCAGCAGTGATAAGTTCCCGACCGGCATCATGCGCTAATGCTGCTCGGGGCTGAAGTCCATCTCAGTCGCCTGAGCCCGCTGCCGCTGCCACTTCCGCGCAATGCCTCTCGCCCACAGTTTCCACCGGCCATCCCGGTGCCCGATTCCAATTTACCGACTTCACGACCCCATGCATAGCCTGCACTGAAGCTGATGGCCGAGAACACAAGGACAACGCCAGCGGATATCATCCAAGAAGCGAGAGTCGGGTTGATGAGCTCGTCGTTGGCCACCGCCGCTTTGGCGGCCCGGACTTTCTTAGCATGTCGCTCCTTACTGTATTCTCTGGACTTGCGTTTGGCGTGCTTCGGGGACGACGATCTCCTGGCCTGAGCGGTACCATCCAGTTCCGACTCTGGCACCAGGCGAAGAGCGGTTGGCTGAGGCGAGGGTCGTGCCGCTGTCGTGGCCCGGGTGTCGGAGCCCTTGGGCTGGACGGCCGCGGCACATGACAACAGGGTCGTCAAGGAGGCCCGCAACGCGGCATCGTGGTCGGGTCGATAGGATGATTTGCCTGTTCGGTGCCTCGATTGAGCTTGTCTTTCATAGCTTCGTTGGGTCACGGTCCGTTCCCCGATGGTCGAGAGCGGTGTGGAGGACGGGGCAGTAGGGAAGTAAGAGTCTGGGATGGGCCGGCCTTGTGATGACGGCGGATGGGAGAACGCATTGGGTTGAGGCGTGAATGCTCTGCCAATGGTGCCAACACCCAAAGCGGTGGAGGTGTCATCGTCGTCTGCATTATCATCATGAGAGAAGTCTTCGGTGGAACTGCTCAGAACTGGATCGCTTTCGCTCTCACTCTCTTCATACTCGTCTTGACTGCTACCAGCTGCGCTCGTCGACCGAGGTTGAGGGGTGGAGAGGCTGGCCGACGCTCGGGGTTGACGAGAAGACCACTCTTCGTAGGGGTGGATTTGCAGGCCGGTCGTGACGATGTCGTTGCTTGTGGATGAGAGGGACGATGAAGAAGGGCGCGATGAGATCTCAACCCACGAGTCTACCAACGTCAGAACTGCCATTGAATAGTAGACGCGGCGGTGGTGGCCTTACCTTCTGAGCGCATCGCTCGTGTACTCGAGTTGGTGGGCGCAAAGGGAGGAGCCGCACCCCCGGGTGCTGGTGTGCGAGTGTCGCGCTCACTCCTATGTAAGTCAAGCGGCTCGCTCTGTGGTGGCCGCATCTTGTTCGGGCAGGTCGTCGGTGGAGGTCCGAGGATGGAAGCAGATGGACGCAGTTCGTCCTGCCTGGCTGGGCGACAAAGAAAATGCAGACCGTGAACCCTCCGATACTCTGTACGGAGTATTTTGCAGTACTTGCACGATGGTTTGTTGGGCGAAGACCGGGCCGTAGTCGTGGTCGTCTCACCGCTGACTGACGAGGGCCGATGGTGGTGGTGGTGGTGGTAGTGGCGGTGGTGGGGGTTGCCTGCGCTGATTGGGACTGCACCACTACTAATGTGCGCCCGAGCTGCGCTACGAATCTGCGCCGAGTGGTTAGGGCGGAAGGGAGGGGGGGTCACTCTAAGATTGGGGACGAGGCACACTGCAGGATGCGATGCAATGCGATGGGATGGGATGTTGATTGTGAGAGGAGAGAGGGATATGAAGGTTGAAGGTGGCAGCCGTTGGCGAACGAACGGACGCAGGCGGGACTCGGACTTGCCAGCGTGTATCCGTACTCCGTGTCGATGACCACGTCGAGGAGCAGGCATGCAAGGAGAAGAGAAGGGAAATGCTTGCAGTCCCAAGGGGTGCTGGCTGAGGACGGTGAGCACTGGGCACCGGGTACAGGGGCACGGGGCACAGGGCAGGATTCCTGGAGTCCAAGTTGGATGGGCGGCAGCTTTGACATGGCATCAGGTGTCAAACTAAAGGCATGACTTGCTCAGTCCAGTATCACGAGGCCTCCTAAGCCTACCTACGCTTCTGCGATCCTTGGGTTCCAATGGTTGGCCGTGTCTGCTGATGTTGGCGAGTCCCAGTCCGTTCTGCACGTCACCCAGAATTACAGTATCACCAGGTATTATTACAGCACCAACAGGGGAGCCTCCTCCTTAGGCCTGGTGGCCGATCTCGGCGGTCTCTGTCTCGTGCTGGGCGCGGAGTTTAGAGTACGGATACTGTATCCGTACAATGTAGGTACGGAGGACGGAGTACATCCTTAGAGAGAACGACTCAGGTGAATGACCTTGTTATCACCACATTACGAGCATGGAGGATTGTAATTTTGAATTTCAATTTCAATTGCAGTTTCATTCACGATCCCAGGCAGAGAAAACGAGAAAGAAAAACACGGAACTTTTACCTACATTACCTTGGCCTCTGCAGCCCTCTTCCCGCGCAAGTCAGTCATACGCAACCACAAATTGACCCTGGACACCCATGCATGGTACGCAGTGAGACCATGTTCATTCCGGGTCGACAAAACACCACTGGTCAGGCGCCATCGACCTAGAATGTGGTCTTCCTTCCAGAGAAGTCGCCGAAGCCGCCGCGGTTGGTCGAGGCACCACGGCCGCCACGACCGCCGCCGAATCCTCCGCCTCCACGTCCACGCCCGCCGCCACGCCCACCGAATCCTCCACCTCCACGACCGCCGAAGCCGCCACGGCCGCCACCGCGCCCACCGAATCCTCCGCGTCCGGGAGAATCGCCATTCTGGGGTCGGGGCTGGCTGTAGTCCAAACGAACCGGGCGGTTTTGGATGTAACCACCCTGCATAGCTTCGAGAGCAGCCGTGGCTTCTTCAGTAGAGCCAAAGGTGACATATCCGAAGCCCTTGGGGTTGCCTGTCTCGCGATCGGTAGGCAGACGGACGCCCAACACGGTTCCATGAGGAGCGAACGCTTCCGAGATGTCATCCTGAGTGCAGTCGAACGACAAGTTGCCGAGGAACAAGGTCTCGGTGGGCTCGCCCAGTTTATCTCCGTAGGACTTGCGGCGGTTGTCTGGCTTGTCACCAGTGCGGGCGTTGGCGAAGTCGACGTTCAATGGTCGATTGTCGAGCTCGGCGCCTTGTTTGGCGGCGTGAGCTTTGGCGGCATCAGCAGCGTTGACGAATTCGATATAGCCAAAGCTGGAACACGTTAGTCAATGCGCCGTTATATGTCAGGATTGTCAACCTCACCCTTTCGATCTTCCGGTCTCGCGATCGGTCATCAAGCGGACACCGCTGAGCTCACCAAACTCCTCAAACTCGGATCTCAGCCAGTTCTCATCGACGTTCCATGAGAGGTTGCCCACAAACAAGTTGGCACCCTTGGACGTGTCCAATTCGGCGACCTTGCTCTTCTTGGCGGCAGGGGCCTCTTCTTCTTCGGCCTTGCGTTTGGTAGTCTTCGGCTTGGCCTCGGCCTCTTCATCTGAATCTTCACTGTCTTCGCTGTCGTCGTTGCTCTCGGCGCTCTCGTCGCTCTCGCTGGCATCATCACTGTCAGCGTCGACGGCGGGTTTGGCACCATTGGCCTTGGGAGCAGCTTCCTCTTCATCGCTGTCGGAATCTTCAGAGCTGTCGTCGTCTTCATCCGCGGATGCGGCTTTGGTGTCTTTCATGACTTCGTCGGCGGACTCTTCATCGTCGTCAGAGTCAGAGTCAGAGGCAGATTCATCCGACTCGGACTCGTCGGTGGAGTCATCCTTGGCAGCCGATTTGGCAGCCTTGCCCTTTTTGGTGTCGACTTCCTCACTGTCGCTTTCCTCATCAGACGAGGCGGAATCATCGTCGTCTTCCTCAGAGCTGGGCTCTGGAGACGGTTCCTTGACAGGTGCCTTCTTGGGCTTCTTCTCCTCCTTCGCAGCAACCTTCTTGGCTATTTCCTTGCTCTTGGTCTTCAGACTTTGCGCGGGCTTGGTCACAGCACCGCTTTTGACCTTGGTCAAGACCTCGGCCTTGGGTGCCTTGGCGGCGGACTTGGACTTGGACTTGGACATTTTGCTGCATGCTCGTTAGCGAAAATGGTACGGCAGGTAGGAGAGATCGCGTTTCAAACAAACCTAATTCCCTCAGACCTCTTGTAGTGCAGCAGCGTGATGTGCAGCGATACCCTCAACCCACAGAGTGAATAAAAGCCCTCGACCTCAGATGTCAAATGCCGTAGCAGATGACACAGAAATAAAAGTTTCTGGGAAGCGCGCGATACCACAGAGATGGAACTTGGGACGGATCTCAAATCGGCAGGGTAGACAAGCAAGACCTGCGACGAATACGTGAAATACCCTCAATGTCAGACCCACAGAGCCCTCGATAGACGTCAACTGATGCCCTCGATAACGATGCCCACGATGGAATACTGAGATGAAAGAATACGATGGGGTTTGCAGAAATAAGCGGTGAGAAGTAGGATGGAGGAAAGTTGTCCAGGTCGAAGCCAGAAATTTTCCTGGCGGCTATTAAATAACCTTCTTATCTTAGCGTCAGTTGGAAATTTCATGGCGATAAAGCAAGCCCAAGCGGAGCTACTGGTGCTAACCGCTGCTAGAGATAGTTAGTACTAATTAGTTGCTAATACTAAACTTGAAAAGTTCAAAGTTGGAGGCTGGGAGTGCCAAGGACTCCCGGAACAATATTTCTCCGTCCTCACAACATGTGCCAGTGTGGTATTAGTACTCCGTACTAGTCCTATAGTAGGGTAGTGCTCCTCCTTACTAGGTCCCTGACCTTACCGTCGCTGTCCTTTCGAGCTTCCTGCCTCAGCTGCATCGATTAATACACCCAAGTTCGATACACCAGTCTCTCGTTTCCGCCGACAGCCGGCTTCCGCTCATCCCCTACCATCATGTCGAGTCCTTCTAATTCTCATAGACCGCGGAAACGGCGGAAAGAACTGGCTCGGAGTCTCACTATCACGGATATCGTCAAACTCGACCCGCGGGACAATGCTATCACCCCGGAGTTTCCCCTGGTTGCCTTCTTGTGGCCTTCAAGGGGAACTACTTCTCAATGGATCCTTTTGCCATTGATCTTGATGGTTGTGGCCATTTTTCGCTGGAGCGTGGGTCTTTGGGGATACTCCGGGTACCAGCAACCTCCTATGCATGGCGATTTGGAGGCCCAGAGACATTGGATGGAAGCTACAACACACTTACCAGCCTTTCAGTGGTACTTTTACGATCTTCAGTACTGGGGTCTTGACTACCCTCCGTTGACTGCGTATCATAGCTGGCTGTGTGGCAAGGTGTAAGTCACCCAGTGTCGATCTGCCTTTGGCCATCGCTGACCTACAAAGGGGCTCGCTGTTTCGCCAGGACTGGTTTGCGCTGGACACGTCCCGCGGTCTGGAAGACCCAGATCTCAAAGTTTTCATGCGTGCCACGGTTATCGTCTCCGAATATCTCGTCTACATCCCGGCCCTGATCATCTTCCTCCGGCACTACAGCAGGGCACAAGGCACAGGCACGACCTCTACTGCAATTGCCCTTGTGGCCATTCTCATGCAACCTGCCACCCTTCTAATTGACCATGGCCACTTCCAGTACAACACTGTCATGCTCGGCTTTGTCGTTGCTACTTTGTCGAGTCTTTATGCCGGCAGGCCCCTGTGGTCATGCCTCTTTTTCGTCGCCGCCCTTGGATTCAAGCAAATGGCACTCTACTACTCGCCAATTGTTTTTGCCTATCTTCTAGGCTCTTGTCTTACTCCAAAGGTCCGCCTGGGCCGACTGCTATCAATCGCGGCGGTTACAGTGCTTGCATTCACGGTCCTGTTCGCGCCGTTGCTGATCGGATCTGTCTTTGACAGTTACACAACATCAGACCTGCCAGCCCTGCCACCACCACCGTTCCTTGCAGAAAGACAGGTCAGACTAGACCCCAACTCCCCCATTGAGATGGTCGTCCTCCAGATCAGTCAAGTCATCCATCGAATGTTCCCTTTTGCGCGTGGACTTTTCGAGGACAAGGTCGCCAATTTCTGGTGCTTCGCCAATACATTTTACAAACTTGGCAAGCTTCAAGCATTTGTTGACCTCCCACGACTCTCCGCCATATTCACCCTGGTCTCGATCCTTGGGCCCACACTTATTATCGCCGCTGTTCCCAAGAAGGCTTTGCTTCCATATGCGTTGGCCACGTCAGCATGGGGATTCTTCCTGTTTTCTTTTCAGGTCCACGAAAAGTCCGTGTTACTACCACTACTGCCCATGACCTTGCTGCTTGGAAGCAAGCAAGGCCTGAGCAAAGAATACCGCGCTTGGATCGGCTGGGCCAATCTCGTGGGCGTTTGGACGATGTTTCCTCTCTTGAAGCGAGATGGACTGCAAACGCCGTACGTCGTCATATCTCTCCTGTGGTCCTATCTCTTAGGCCTCCCTCCCACGAGTGTCGATGCATACTACGACCCTGATCACGAAAATGTCCCCGGCCGGCCTCTCGCGCCCGATGACTTGCGGACGCCCACCAAAATCCTACATTTTCAAACTTACATCGTCATGGCGTTTTGGCATCTGCTCGCAGCCTTTGCAACACCTCCAGATGACAAGCCCGATCTATGGGTTGTTTCCAACTCCTGCATTGGGGCGCTCTGCTTCGGAATTTGTTATCTGTGGTGTTTCTGGAAATTGCTTTCCGAGAGCGGCCTGATTGACGGGTATTCAGGGCGGTCGGACGCGCACGAAGGCTCCCCAGTTGCGACTGACAGACTGACCGCCGACTCAGAGATAAAAGAAAAATAGAATGTGTTGCCCAGAGCTCCATTCCGAAATCACTTCGTTAACGGCATAGACAAGATAAACATAAGCCCTACGGCCGGCACTTGTACATCACATCATCGTTCCTCATAAGGTTCTTGTTCGTTCTCATCCTTTGTAGCCTTTCATTACCATAAGCCATGGCATTGGCTTATGCATAATTCACCACGCCCTTGACGGCCCAGACTTCTCCATTCCCAACACGCCCAACGATGCCATCCACAACAAGATTGCCGGGCCGGATAATCCTGTGGCCGTCATGTTCCTCCCACCATAGCTCTTGGCCGCCTAAAGTCTTGATCTTGCCTTCCGGACCTTTTTTCCACGGGCTTGTCGGCACGACGTGCTCTTCCACGAATCGCTGCAGATTTTGCGCCGCTTTGTCCTCACTCCTCGCCGCCGACACTCCTGAATCATCACCTGGCCTGTCTTCCCAGGGCTTCCGCGGGAGGGCCTGCATCGCACTGTTCAACGGTGCAAGTACGGTGGTATTATCTTCGGGCTTGGTTGATTCGAGACGAGTGGTGACGGTAGAAACGTCGCGTGTCAGGGAGGCAAAGATATTGATTTTGCGAGTCTGGGGGAGAATGTCTGAGATGGAGACGGTGCTGTCGTCCACCCCGCCACCATCTTTGTTTGGTGAGGCTCCATCTGGTGTCGAGGAGATCGGGCTCTGAACGGGACCTGGATTCATGGGGAGCTGGTCGCCGTGGAAGGAGGAGATGGAATGGCGCAAGAGTGAGGCGGATTCACGGAAGTAACCCAAGGGAAACAGGGCGGCAGCTACCGAAAGCGAGGCGAAAAAGGAGGCGACAAGAACTGGGTAGCGCATTTTCATATGGATATGGTCAGTGGGCTCTGTCGTGGTCGAAGGTGTGGTTGCAAAGAAGGATGCGTATTGCCTCCTCTGTACGGAGTACATGCCGCCTTCTCCCACGGAGGTGACGATGACGTCGCAGCAGTTATGGGGACACGTGACACGTGACACGTGACAAATCTATTTCCACAAAGAAAGGGACCAAGTACGGAGTACCTAAAGGGACATAATGTTCAACACCGCGCGCTCCTGAAGTCAAAGAGAGACTAAATACCGACATCTGGCACTTCTAATGTTCCGCCCGGAGCATCCAGTGCTCTGCTAATCGTTTCACACACCAGAACTGCCCTCAATGCCTCTGTAGGACTGCATCTTGGCTGTGCGTTCTCCCGGATCACCTGGACAAAATGATCTAGCTGCCGCTGGAAGGGCGGTCTCGCATCATCGTCAACAGGGAGTCTCTCCTTCTGAAGTTCGGTCTGCCACCCTTTCTTCCTACCGGCCCCGTACGACCATCGTACCATATCCGGGACGCTCAGAGAGCCCTCGGTGCCCAAGATGCGGTAGACGTCGACTTGCTCGTCCGCCAAGTCTGCGAGTGGGATTGGGTTCTCTCTCGTGGTTGCCTCGTAGTTGTATGGGCTGACTACATGGTCTGAGAGTAGAAAGGTGCCGACGATTCCCGAGCGGAAACAAAGGATCAGGGCCGCGCCCTCCTCTGCACGGTCGTGCTCTTCCACCGCCTCAGGCACCTCGTTCTTTTCTCTGCGCGGCACAGTCTTTTCGGCATGGACCCTGACGATGGGCCCGAAGAAATACTGCAACAGATCGATTTCATGCACTAGATTGATCACGGCCACCCCTCCGCCTCGACTCTTGCTGCTCCGCCATGCAAGGGCCGGGTCGGAGTTGAAATAGTCTGCCGGCTTGAAGTTGGCCCAGAGTGCTGATACGGCGGTGATCTGGCCCAGCAAGCCTTCTTCCACCGCTCTCTTGGTCGCAATTATATGGCGATTGAACCGACGATGGTGGCCGACTAGTAGACGAACGTCCTTCTCGCGCACAAATCGCACCAGCTCCAGACCCTCGGTGGTCGAACTACTCAGCGGCTTCTCGAGAAGGATGTGGATTCCGGCCGTGGCGAGCTCCTTTGCCACAGCAACGTGAGTGTGGTTAGTAGTGCAGACGATGGCAGCCGCTGGCTTGCGATTCGTTGACGAGAGCAATTCTTGCACGGAGCTGAAGTACTGTATCGAGTGGGATGCTGCGATTTCCGGCCCGGCAGGAGAAGGATCGACGAGTGCAACCAGATTGGTAGAGGGATTGGACAAGACTTCCGCGGTGTGTCGTTTACCAATGGCTCCGGAGAAGCCCACGATCGCTATGTCTATGGGCGTAGAAACTGCCATTTTTCCGCCTGGGAGTTACCACTACCACCAGGACGAAGTGGAGGGTCCTCCGAAGGAACTGCTTATAAGAAAACGAACCCAAGGCCCGTGGTGTAGGTGGTTCAAGTTGAAGCCCGAAAAAGGCGTGATTGGCAAATACTCACCACGCCATGTGGACCGGAGTTACAGGTTGCAAGAGAATACTGGCGCATTATTGGTTTGGGAGGCCATACTACTGTATATGTATCCTCTCCGGCGACAATTAAGCGGGACGACCATTTCTACTCTGTACGGATACACTGGTGACTGTATGGCCCTGGCGTACTCCGTATCTGCTGTGAGGCTTGCGCTGAGTTCTATGCGCTGAGGTCTACAGAGTACAGGTAAGACCCTGCCGGCTTTACGCTTCCTCTGGCTTACGCCACGTATAGGCCGCTCCGGGGTGATTTCTTCTCAACCTCGGACCCAATCCATCCTCGAGGTAGTTTTCTCTGGCGGCGCCTCCCACGACCTTGTACTCCTCTTTGATGACGCCTCGCCGCCTCAACTCCGGCCACAGGTACTTGACCATGTCCTCGAATGTGCCCGGACTCACAGCGTGGCTGAAGTTGAAGCCGTCGATATCCGCGACCTCGATCCAGCGTTGTAGCTGGTCCGCCACCGTTTGCGGCCCGCCCACCACTCTCGGGTGCGCACCGGCCATTGCAAGCTCTTGCAGCACCCTTCGCTTCGTCCACTTCACGTTGTCGCTGCCTGGGACGGTGGCAGACCACGTCTTGACCAAGCTTTGTACCGCTCCAGGCCCCGTGAAGTGGAAATCCTCATCGTCGGCCAAAGCGGACAGATCCACACCGGTCCAGCCTCCGAGAAGGGTGGCGACGCCGTCGAGGTCCGAGGCCTCCAGGAAGTCGTTGTATTTTTGCTGTGCCTTTTCGTCCGTTTCGTCAACAATGACGAGCATACCGGCGAGCAGCTTGATACTGTCTCGATCTCGGCCCTGAAGCGTAGCTTGGTGTCTAACGGTGCGTTGAGTAACTAGATTACCCCTTGTTAATTCAACATCACGTACCTGATGTCGTCCGCGATTTTCCGCACGTTTTCCGGACTCATGCCAGGGAGAAACATCACTTCGGCATGCTTGGTGGCGAAGAGCTTCCCCGCGCTGTCAAGAAATGTGAGAGACTGGGCACGGTACACTCAGGGAGGGCAAGCCAGCCCGTCTCACTCACCTCGAAGCTCCAGCTTGGAACAGAAATGGAGTTCTTTGCGGTGTCGGATCCACTGCATTCGGGCCGGCTACACTGAAGTATTTCCTGCAGCAAACACACACGAGGGTTAGGAGCCGGAATGCCTGCTTGGGGTGGGATCGGATGTCACAGTACCCTTCATGATTGATGGCTCGCACGCGGTCCGGTTCGATGTAGACTCCCCGTTTGGCGTCGCGGACCAGAGCGTCATCCCGCCAACTTCCTTCCCAGAGCTTGTAGACGGCGTCCATGAACTCTTCGGCTCGCACATAGCGCTCGTCGTGCGGGATCTCCTCCTTGAGGCCACAGTTTCGGGCGGCGCTGGCCAAGTGGCTGGTGACCACGTTCCAGCCAATGCGTCCTCGGGTGACGTGGTCCAGCGTCGAATACCTCCGTGCGAGGATGAAGGGGTTCTCATAAGTCACGGAGGCGGTGACGCCGAACGCAATAGATTGAGTGGCATAAGCCATTGCCGAGATAATCACACTTGAAGGCGAAAGAAACCAGACTTAGCCCAAAGACGAGGACATGGCAATGATCATGATCCCCTACAGGGCGGCAGGGTGCATTGACATCGACATTGACATTGACGGCCTCGTCCACTTACCTGGGATCAGAGTATGGCACCTGGGCGCCGGATTGCAGCGCAGGCCCGATGTTTTCTGGCCCTTTGTACAAATCATACAGCCCCAATGTGTCTGCGATAAAGATGCCGTCAAAGTTGCCGCTCTCCAAAAGCTTCGCCAACTCGACCCAGTAGCTCAGATCATTGTTGGACGCTTGCCCATTGGGAAGTCGCCACAGCCCTGCCGCGTGGTTCCAGATCGATTAGCTGTGTGCGCCATGCAGTCCTGTGAAGGGCTGCGGCTGAAATGAAATGCTAACCTGGTGACATGTGCGTGGACGCATTCATCGTGAATGCATTTACAATCCATGTCTTCCGTTTTGACGCCGTAGCCGGCGTAGTAGTACTAGACATGATTTATGGGGCCTGATTTCGACCGGATTGATTGATTGCTTGCAGTTTTCGATGTCCAAGATGCACCAGGTCTCTTCACAAGGCTGGGATGGGATGGGATGGAGACGGAGCAAGTATAGCGAGGAGCACTTTTCCCACGCTTGGGCTTGGGCTTGGAGACGATGGAGATGAAAACACTGCTGGCAACTTAGACCACGTGGATGCGATGTGCTTGTGGCGCTCGTCTACTTCTCCTCCTGCTACTGTACCACTGGGTATCTTAGTGTGGCGCCAGTCTCGAGAGCCAGTGTCCAGGGTCTTTGATCCGAAATTCGACCCTGCAATGTTAACTAACTCGGACGTCAAGCTTTTCGGGTCATCGCAAGGCGAAGGAATTTGCCGTTCCTCTCATAAGATCCCAACTTATCGGAGAAAGTCTTGCTGGCGCTGAGGCAAGACCTGACTATGATGGCGTGATAGACCCCGAGAATGGAGGATATACAGTGCCCGGTACCTTATGTATGGTACTTCTTTCTGCGTTCGGGCTTTACAAGAATGGTCTCCTGAGACTAGACGCCACCTTTCAGAAGATGGTTACATTTTGAACGCCTTGAGGCTCCTACGACTAGGCCCCGGCCTGCCTATTAAGTAATGATAGCACAAATTCCTCGCTTACCCAGACTGGTTGATGATTCCGAGGGGGTCAACAGAATCGTCCCTGCGATGGAAGAATGTCAGACTTGTTCAGAACGAGTGGTGAGACCAACTGTCGTGGCGCATCACCCTGTTACAGTAATGTGGTATGTCGCAATCATCCATGCCCATCTCCCATCCCGTCCATATTGATCTCGACGATGGTATAGATTATGTCCATACATGTCTATTATTATATTCCCTTTAGACCACCCTATGCTTTTGTTTGGCCTGTCTATCCGGGATCAGACAGAACCTTGCTGCTCAATGTACTCCGTAATCTCTAATTTTCCAATAGGCCCGATATTCTACGCTGGCGGGGCCTGATTGTGCAGTGGTATCGGCGTCGTCTGGCAGAGCATACCCAAGCCACCACGGGCACCGTCACATCTAGTAGACATAGATGAAGTCCTCGTTCTTCAAGTCCGTAATATCGGCCAGGCCTTTGTCTTCAGTGACGTGCTGGGCACCCTTGTCGTCATCGACCTGCCCCAGTTGCTGCTGGACTTTGGCTTTCCCAATCATTGAGAGATCAACCACTTTGGCGTTTTTGCCCAGTCGTTGGCGAGTGGCGGCGTGCTTGTTGTTCAAGTACTTGAGGTATACGGGAATGAGCCTGAGTGAAGGAGTCAAAAGTCAGATGGGCCCGCGGTCGTGGGTTTCGTCACTTGTGGAAGGAACTGGTACTTACAGGGACAGCAAAGTAACCAGACAGAAGAATCCCAGGCACGAATAAAGACCTCTCCGGTACAGAGGAGCATCTTCAGAGAAATATAGCTGAGGCCCGACGATCTAGATAAACGGTCAGCGTGTGGTGGCCCGGAATGCAGATTCACAGGGGTGCAATATTACGTTTCCGGCGCAGGTGGAAAGGAAAACAATGGCGGTTGAGCACTTCCTCTTGGTATTGCCGCCCGTGTTTTGAGCCTGCCATGCCCACAGGAGAGGAGTAATGCCCGTGTTAATGGAAAGCTGTTTTCCAGGAGTCAGTTTTCTGGAGTCTAGGGACAAGAAGGGCCTGGAGCAGCTGGGATACTTACAAAATAATAGGCAAAGAGAAGGACCCCTCGATGCTCGACAGTGCGCGGGACCTTCAAGATGATGAGGGCACCCACGATGGGAGTCATGCCATAAGCGGCCAGGACCAACCCCTTTCGATTGAACTTGGATGAGAGCCAGCCACCACCGAGGCTGGCAATGATCTGGATGGCTCCCACAGGCATTCCCACCAGAATGGTTTCGAAGGCGCTGAACCCGAAGGATTTGATGATGAGCGGGCCAAAGGTGGCCATGGCCCCCGAGGTGCTGTCACAGTGTCAGTCGGGCGCAAAGACGGGCTGGCTCCAAGCCAACTCAGACGGCGGAGCGGAGTAGCTTACGAGACCGAGAAGCCGTATAGAAACCACAACAGGGTCTTGAAGTCGGTAAAGACCTCCCAAACATGATCCCATCTCCACTGTTGAGTCTCCAAGCCTTGCTGGTTGGCGCGGACCCGCTCAATTGCGATCAACTTTTCTTCTTCGGTGAGGAACTTGGCCGTGCCGATGGAGTCGGGCATGAAAAGGATGGTGATGCCTGCGTAGGCCAGGGTCAAGCAGGCGAAGAAGAGAAAGACAATCTATGCACGCCGGTGGTCAGCTCAGCACAGGTACCTTGGGAACAAGAGAAGTGTCTTGAGAAGACCATACCTGATATGCATACAAGTGCGAGTTTTGAGCATGGCCGAGTCCCCAGATGATCAGACTGCCCAACTTGGAGAGGGTCAGTTTGTGACGTCCAGACAGACAGACGGCGATGCACACTTACAATCGCGGCCACTCCATTCATGGCATTCCAGGCCATCATGCGGTTGACCTGCTCACTGCGACGCCACCACAGCTGGCTGACGGCGATCAAGGAGGGTGCTATGCCAGGGTAGTCGCGCTCGACGGAACAAACATGCAGCCAAATCAACATTTGGCATCAGGATCAGCATCTGGCGTGGCTCACCAATGACGGACTCGAAAGCCCCCAACAGAAACCTGGTTGTCGCCAGCCCTGCGAAATTGCGACTCCCGGCCATGCCGAACAAGCTGACAGCCCACAGCACGATGGCGATCCCAATGACCTTCCCCAACGGCAACTTGACGAGCAAGAAAGCGCCCAGAGGCTGGAAGGCCAACTGCGCAAGGTAGAGGATCGACCCCAGCCATGAATACTCGGTGCCGTGCAGATGCGCCTGCTTCTGAAGTCCGAAGACCGCGCTGTTTCCCAACGCGGCTTTGTCGCATTGCTGCAGGAAATAGGCTGCCAGCATGAAGGGGAGAACTCGGAGATCAATCTTTCGGAGCACTCTCTTCTCCTGCTCTAGGGTGTACGAGATAGTCGGACCGCCATTGGGATTCTGGATCTGGAGCAAGTCGACCCCCTCGACCGTCGCAGCCAGCGTCTTTCCAGCGTCGGCTTCGGGCAGAATCTCAGCCTGATGCTGGTGGGCGGGTTCCTCTGCATGAGGATGAGGAGGAGAGGATATGTCCTCGGGACCGTGATGGGGTTGCACACTCATGTCGCTGGCCAAGTACAGGAGGAGATGCTCGGACTGGGATGATTCCCTGTTCAATTCGACGCTGCCGACTATTGAGTATAAGTAACCCAAAATTCCGTCGCCGGCCGGCGGCCACAGATGGCGACATGTACATAGTATTGTCTGATGGACGCTAAGGGGCCAGACAAATACGGATCGTGGGTAACCATGTGGCAATCAGCAGTATGGAAACTGGTCCCCGAAGGACAGCTAGTTTGAGTAGATCGGGCTATTTGTCGGCGAAGCCTGTGTCTCCAGGAGGTCGAACTAATAATCTATTGTCTGTATAGTATGCACAGTAGGTGCTTGGAAAGCACTTCTGAGGAGTTCAGGACTGTGATCAAGACGGCTGGCTGCAATATCACGAAACAAGTCGCCACGATGACACCATGTACTCTAAGCGAGATACTGCTCAGGCTAGCCTTATAAACCCCTTTCAGGGTATGAGGTGACAGGCCAGTAGCCACTAGGAAGAGACAATCGGGGTGGGGTGGAGCCAGCCGAATCAATTGAGATCTCCGTAGCTACTTATTCCTATCAAAGGTGCATGGAGTGCTCCTGCAGGTACGGAGTACGTCTGTACAGAGTAGTCTTCTCCTGCCCCAAATAAAGACCAGACCGGAGTTGGCCACCAGACTTTCCAATGAGGTGGACGAGAGACCAATGCATCAGTGATTATTTAGTCAAGGGGCCGCTGGGAGCCTCGTCGATCAAGATCGGGTGCTCAATGATGGCTCTCCAAGCTGGCCGGGCGGTCACGGCCTGGTACCATCGGGTGAGGTGGGGGTTTTCGGCTCGCCAGGCTTTGTCCAGCACGTATTGGAAGCCGCGCGCAAGCTGGGACGCCACATACAGGTCTGCCAGAGTGAGGTGGTCTCCGACCAAGAAATCGCGGTTGGAAAGGTGTTGCTCCAAGACCGAAACCCTTGGAAGAGCAGTGGCTTTCGCCTCCTCGACCGTCTTTTGGTCGTATGGAGCAGCACCGATGAGAGGCCGGAACCAGCTGGTGAGGAATGGGAACACCTCCGTGTTGGAAAAGGACAGCCATCGGATGACGGCGGCGTAGTCCTTCTTTGTCTTGCCGAGCAGTGTAGTCTTCTCATTCTGTGACGCGACTGCACATGACAGGAGGTGGTCAGCATGGTCATGGTCCACGAGTCAGTGGCAAAAGAAATGTACATACAGTAGATGGCGATTGCAATGGACTCGGTCAGAACGTCGCCATCGGCGCCAACAAAGGTGGGGAATTTTCCCAGAGGGTTCAGCTTCCTGTACTCGGGGTCGTCCTTCCGAGGCGCAACCAATTCAACATCGAGGTTGTTCTCCTTTGCGACCACGAGAGAAACGGTGGTTCGGGGATTGTCCTAAGCTTAGCATCAGTATTGCCATTGCCCTTCCATTCGGCCATAGGCTTCAGAACAGAAGCATACCCTGACGCCATAAAGCTTCCCGAACGACATGTTGACTCTCTGGTGGTGTGAAGCTGCTGGAGGGACCTGGGTTAGGGTTAACGAGGGATAATGATGGCCGTCCACAGAATCAGCGTACAATGCTTGAAGGTTGAGACACAAGTGAAGGGGAGGGAGACTATCGCCTATATCCAACAGTATAATAATATATGTGTATGCGGCTGTTCTTCCAAGAATGGCGTCTACTAGACGATTTATGGGGTGCTCAAAAGCTCTCCACTCCCTTTTACTTGGCACATCCATTGTCCTATGGCGACGGTCGCTTTGCACGACGCTGACCAAGCAAGGCTCACTTCTCACTTCTCAGGAGAGAGGACAGAGTACTACAGAGTAGTGTCAGGGCCAGTTCCTCGGTCCTACTATCAGTACACGTATCTGTATAGCGGCGACTTGTCACCCATGTCCAACAGCTCCGCTGTTCCAGGTCAGTGAAGATGTTTTCAATACAAGGAGGGAGGAACCAAACTACACGTTACGTACCTTCGGTATACTTTGCTCTGACCTCCTCCTCGGATAGCTGATCTCTCTTCCGATTTTCTCGCTGATACGCCCACTTGAGAATGAAGGTGGACGCAATTGCCAGAGCAGAACAAGCAATTGATACTCCGTAGCCGGTCCAGTATCGAGGTGCTTCCTGCCTGAGATAGATATTGGAGCCGATGGCACCGCCAAAATTGCCCATCATAATACTCATGGCAAGACCAATGGCGCGCTTCGAAGTGGGTGCGATGTTGTTGGCCACCCATGAGACCAGCGTGATGACTGCAGGATAGACGCCAATCGTGATGGGGAAGAGAAAGGCGTAAGTCAAACCGGGCAACTTGGGGTGTGGAATGGCCAACAGGCCCAGGAAGCCGATGAGGGAGATGCCATACGGGATAACGATGAAAGGCCACCGGGAGCGACGCTTGTCGGCGGCCCAAGAAAACCCGATGGTGGAAACTAACCCGGCAAAGTACACCGGGATGGTAAGCAGCTGAGCCTGAGCTGAAGTATATCCTAGGTCTTTTATGATGGTCGGCGCAGTGATGCTGAAGGCGTAGACCGGAATGCTATTCAATCCAAGTCAAGTCAGTAGGTTCCAAAACACAAAGCGGGGAGTTCGAGTTTGGGTGTGCCTCGTACGTGTTGCCCCAATATATAAAGACGGTGAACCAAAGCTTCCAGTCCATAATTGCGGCGACAAGATACTTGGTCTGGAAATGGTCAAGGGTCTCGACTCGGCCCTCGGCGGTGCCAGAGTCTCGTTCCAGACGATATCGAATAAATCGCTTCTCTTCGGGCGTCAACCAGCTGGCGCCCTCGGGTGAATCGGGGAGAACGAAAGGAATCGCCAGGCCGGTTAGCACGGTCACAATTCCTTCGATGATGAATATCCATCGCCATCCTGCGAGGTTCGCGATGCCGTCCATCTGCTGGATGCCGTAGGCAAGCAGACCCGAGAAAGCACCCGCCATAGAGGCGGCGGAAAAGAAGACCGACATCCGGGTCTGAACCTCGAATCGACAGTACCATTCGCTGACCAAGAAGGTCGCCGCCGGGAAGAAGCCGGCCTCAGCCACTCCGAGGAAGATACGAGCAATAAGCAAGCCGTGGTAGTTCGTGACGATCCCCGCGCAGACAATGATCTGAGGAAGAGAGAGTGGAAACATTAGTCAAGGGAGCTGAACTGGACCATAGAGAGTGAGACTGGCTCCCCTACCGTACCCCAGAGAATCACCAGGAGGGTGATCCATCGCGAGGGTCTGAGTATCTTCAACACAATATTACTGGGGATCTCAAACACGGCGTAAGGAATGAAGAACATCTGCTGCATGTCAGAGAGTATCCCCCAACCCCAGTGCTACCGAGGAATCTCTTCCCATACATACCGTCGCCGCCAAGTTGTATTGGGTCCCGGTCAGGTTCAGATCCTTCGACATGCCGGCCACATTCGCGTTGCCCAGATTGCCTTTGTCCAAGAAGGCCAGTAGGTAGAGCAATGCCAACGGTGGCAGAAGCCTCCAGTCGATCTTGCGCAGGACCCTATGTGTCTCCGCGGCATCATAACTTGGAAGGCCGTGGCCATGGCCATTGTCGTTTGCCGCTGCTTGGTCTTCGAGGTGGTCGATGTCGACTGGATTGGTCTCGACAAACTCGAGTTCGTGCTTTTCCAGCGACCGATCCTCAATCATGTTGATGGCCTAGACTGTAGGTTATCACAACGCTACGGTACACGGAGAAGACGAGCACGCGGAGAATGATGCGACACCAAAGACCAAATCTGGGGAAGCAGACTTAAAAGCAAAGATACCTATCCAGGGCTGTCGGCGTTTGCCGAGGATCGGGGAGGTGACCAGCTTGGTAGGAAAGACACGATCTGGCATCTCACTTGTTCCCTGTTCCCGTCCCTGTCCCTGTTCTTGCTATATCGGCATTCACCGTCGTCAGCCATTGCATTACAGATTTGTTCACCTACGAGTGAGGACACTAGAAAGCCTGTTGGCTGGAATTGGAGTGCCAAGTTGGATCATGGGACAATCAATAGTACTAGTACTAGTAGTACCATTCCTAAACATCACACAAGATACTGTAGTGGGGAGACTCCGTACCTTGGCTGAATTCTGTACTTTGTATGGCATATGGCCCAAAGGTCGCGGGGTGGAAATCAACTGGCTGGAGAAAACCGGGGGCCCCAGAGCCCCTCAGCCCTCAACCCTCAGCCATCAGCCCCAGATCGGTGAATGCCGAGTCCGAGTCCTAAGCCGAGCCCGCTCTCCTCCTCGGTAGCGAGTGCTTTCTTCTCTGCTTGATCGCCCACAACGGGAAAGGCGGCTTAGGCCTTTGACCTGGCAACTGATCTGTTGAACCACTACTCTGTACTACTTGCTCATCGTCCCGGACCAGGCCTGAAAGACCGCCAGAGGACCAACTTCAACTAAATGACATGGTACAATGAAGCACCAGCATCGACGTGCAGGTTAACCCCGGAGATGGCAGAAGCCCGACTCCCAGACAAGAAAGCCACCGCCTCGGCGACTTCCTCGGGGAAGGTCATGCGGTTCATGGGACTCTGTAATTTGGCCCCAGCATAGAAGGCCTCATCCAGACCTGCTCCGCCTCCGGTCAACATGGGGGTCAGCGTGAAGCCCGGTGACACTGCATTCACGCGGATGCCAGACGGGGCGTACTGCCTGGCGTCGTTCTTGGTCATCGAGACCACGGCGTGCTTGACACTGTTGTATGAGGACAAGGTGGGCACGGAGGCGGTGCCGGAGAGGGACGCCGTGTTGACGATCGAGCCTCGCACCTGGCGTTCCTTGCGGTCTCCTGGCTGAAGGTAGTCCAGAGGTTCCTGTTTCAGGAATTGTTGCACCTCATACTTGGTGCACAGATACACCTGTCGGCCCTGCTTAGTACCACGTTGCTCTGCCCGAACCTCCCGGCATACAGGGAGTGACGTGACTTACTCCTTTCTCGTTGACCTTGTACAGTTTCTCGAACATGGCGGTGTCGGTTTCATGTGTTCTCGTGCCTCCCAAGCCAATTCCGGCATTGTTGGCCGCAAAGTCAAGTCGTCCGAAGATTTTCACGCACTCGTCGACCATGGCCTTGACCGAGGAAGCATTCGAGACGTCTGCCAGGTGTAGAGCGACCTGTGCGGCACTCGACTTTTCTTCCACGTACTTTTTGGTCTCGTGTAGACCTTTGTCGTTCAAGTCGACCAAGAATAGCCTGATGACGCCCTGTTCGGCCAGCTTGATGGCGATTTGTTGGCCCACCCCTGATGAGAACATACTGTAAGATAAGACTTCGCCAACACCCAAATGCCCAAAACACGACATGTTTTTTCTTCTTGTTATTTCTTACCTGAGCCTGCTCCAGTTATGAGTCCAACTCCTTTCTGCAGAAGGGGGTCCATTTTATCGCTATGCTTATGCTCAGCCTGTACTTGACTCTCGTCCGGTCTCCTGTCTCCTGTCTCGAGTGTGTGTTATGTTGAATGCGGCAGGATCAGAATCACTGGTCAAGAGTTCCCTGTAAGATGTGCTGTCGGGCGGTGCAGTCTCCTCTATCGATTAGTCTATAGTCTCTGGTATTCTTGTCGCGGCCTGAAGGATTTAGCCAAGATCTCGGTACTGGACAGTACATAGCCCCTCTTCGGCTTGCACCGAAGTCCAGTAGTATAGTACCCAGAAGCCTCGCGCCTCGGGCGGGGATCATGGGGGCCCCCGGAATTTCCAGCGGTGTCGTGCCTCGTGCCTCGTGCCTCGGTGGGCAACCAGAAGAGTACAGTAACAAAAGAGTGTCCGGCTGCTTACCCGGGGGCTGCATGGCATGATCCTTTTATTTCATGTTGATTCTACTGTACGCCCGTCGCCCCAAGAACACATCATATATACCAGGATACCGTCACCGTCAACATGGCCGGCATTCTTGCAAATGGCACAGCTGTGGTTACGGGAGCGGGCTCGGGTGAGCATTACCATCTTACCACCTCCAGGAGAACATGGCCGTTCAGTTTCTAACAAGCCTGGAAAGCCACCGGACGGGCTATAGCACTTGCATTTGCGCGGGATGGAACCTCCAACCTGGCCATCGGAGACCTGGATTCGACTGAACTCCAAGAGACCAGCAAACAGTTGAAGGAGCAATACCCATCCCTCAACATACTGGCAGAGTCGATAGACATCAACGACGAGGGCTCAGCCGCCCGGTTCTTTCAACAGGTGGTCGACAAGTTCGGTCGCATCGACTTCGCCGCGAACATTGCCGGCCATGAGCCACCTGTCGCAGGTGCCCACGAAGTGGAAGATGCAGATTTCGACCTGGCCTTCGAGAGGAATCAGCGAGGTGTAAGTGCATCTCGGCCAGTTGACTGGAGTCTGAACCCTAAGTTGAGTTTGGGACTGACTCGCTCGCTGCTGTTCACCAATCCAGATCTTCTTCTGCTCTAAGCCGATTCTGGGCCATATGCTCAAGCAACAACCCCTCGAGGGACACGTAACCAGGGGCAGTATTGTGAACGTCACGAGTATCGCGTCGACCGCGGCACTGCCAGGCTTGCACGTCTACTCGGCGACCCAGGGAGGTGTTTTTGGTCTGAGCAAGTCGGATGCCTACGACTACGCCGGTGACCGGATTCGGGTCAACGTGGTGGCTCCCCTCCTCTTTTCCAACAAGGAGGTATATGCCAAGCTCGAGGAACATCCCTTCAAGCGCTACGCCACACCCGAGGATGTTGCCAATGCGGTGGTGTTCCTGTCTGGGCCTCGAGCTGCCTTTATTTCCGGTATTGCTCTCCCTGTCGATGGTGGATTTCATTTGAAGACAGGGGGCCCTCCTAGATGAATCTGAAAAACAAGTCCGCCTCTTCCGCATTAATGCCAGAATGATTGCCCTGCTAGGCACATTACCTATAGCCATAGCCATAATCATAGCTATAACTATGATAGCCCATGGATAATGGGAGCTATAGTAGACACAGAAATGCACTGAGACTGGGTCAGGACAAGATTGCCTGCAAGGCCGAGATCGACAGCGTTGCCGAGGTTAGTTCTCGGAACGAGGATTTATGGTATAGACAACAATAAAGAAGGAAGTATAGTTTCTCCGCTTGATTCTTTTCACCATCTACAAAATAACACAGGCCATTCGTTATTCCCACCGATGGCTTTTGAGGGCTGGAACCTGGCATGCGCCTTTAATTCTTCCCCATCCCTTACTCCTTTCCTGCCGTAGCCTCGTATGCCCGTGCAAGAGCCTGGCGACGAGAGACGGACTGCGGGTCGTAATAGGGCACTTCACCCAGAGATACCACTCGGTTGCCTTGTCTTCTGCCTTCGTAGTCACTAGAAAGAGGAAAATTAAGAGTTAGAGTCTAGTGGGATCATGAAGGATGTTGAGACTGCTTGAACTTACTTCGTTGCAGTGTGGAAAACGGATCGGCTAAAGAACAGGGCCGGGCCAATTAGTGTCATGGTCTGATGATGGAGTGGATGAGTGTAGACGTCTGTGACTCACTTGTCCCAAATGGCAACGTCGTTCTTGTTCCAGCGGAAGCGGACTTGTAGATCGTGATTCTGAGAGATCAGCTGGAGGACTGTGTGGTGGTAGAAGTCTTTGGTAAGCCAGGTTGTTCGACAGCAAGGTCTTTAAAATGCGGATTAGCAAGCAGGATAGGACTTACAGTAGTCCTTGAGGATTTCACTCTCGCGGTCCGTGACACCGTCGATGCCCCCATGAAGGATTTGGAAACCTGCACCGAAAAGAGCCTTCCATCTGCATGGAGCGGAGGGGTCAGTCTTGGTCGCGTCTCGGGAAGAGCCAGACGGGAGTTGGTCTTACCCAGTGACTGGATTAGTGCGGATGACCGGGCTAGAAGGACCGGTCAGCATCTCCGGGACTAGGACTTGTTTAGTGAGCTTGTGGCAGGCCAGCCTTACTGGGTTGCTTTGAAGTCACGACCCTTGTTCTCCGGAGCTCCTCGTTCTTCTTCAATCAGCTCCTCCCCAAATTCATTGACAGCGTTATTCAGGGCCGGCTAGACAAGTCGAAGTCAGCCACAGATCAGAGATTAGATCAGTCTTTGCCTTGGTCGGCTGTTGGTGATGGTACCTGATCATGAGTAGCAGTAAGGCCCTCGGCCAATCTCCGCAAGGCTGGTGACATGCGATCATATGCCTCATACCCTGAAGCCCACAGGGTGTCTCCTCCCGCGTCCGGGGGAAGGAGGGTCATCTTGAGGATGGCATAGTCTGACGGAACCCGCTCGAAGGTAATGCTATCCCACCGTAAGCATACATGGAGCATGATCGGTTGCCAGAGGGCATACGTACTCGGAGTGCCAGCCTTCACTGCCCAGCTTGGTTGATTGTGGCGTGGACCGGTCGCTGTGTAACTTCCTGTTCAACTGTGGTTCGCCACGTTAACACAGTTCCGAGTGACAGTGGTACTGTAGCTCGGCTTCTTAGACGCACATCAGAGGATATGACCGATATCTCGTCGTCAAGTTTGCCATTCTCGTCCACTGCAATGCCTCTCTTGCTATTTAAAAGTGCATGTTTGTGAAGCTGCTTCTCGGTCAGAGTTTCCCCTCCATTACTTTTGAACGTGCGCTGCTCTTCTGACTAGCTGGTCACTCACCTTGGACGTGGCTGGTTTCCCAGTGAGCTCTCCCAGTTTTTGGCCCAGAAGCTTCTGTGCCTCAACGTCGAGGTCCTGGTTTCGGAAGAAGACGACTCCCCGCTCCGAGACTGGTTCATTTTCATTCAGTATGCTGGAGCCAGATCCCCAAGAACATAGGGTGGCCTACCAGTGATGGCAAGATCGCGCACTTTGGCATTGTCGTTCAGGATGGAACTCAATTGCAACTCGGGGAATTCTCGCCCAATTACTGCGGTCACATCAAAGGACTTATACTGATCGAGGGTACCGGAGTACTTAAGAGGAGTTCGCCTCAACCCCTTGGCGGAAGTATCGCCATTGGAATAAACAGGAGACTCTGTAAGCCCAAGTGCCATGTTGAAGAGTTTGGGAGAAGACAAATCGCCAATTGGCTGTGTTGGTCAGTCAGGAATGGTACAGAAAGGGTAATGTAATGCCCTTCATATACAAAAGACTCTCCCGGTTCTATCCATCCACTCTCTTGTGTTAGATATCTCATCTCTTGCGTGATTTGGATTGATATTAGCGAAACCCTTAAACCACCCTAAATAGTTCGGGTGATAAACTGACAGGCAACGAGACCAGTTTTACTGGGGCTGTTCCCTGGCTGCCCTTCAACGCGCGATTTCTTCCTTTTGTCGCGCAGCTGGATGGATCAGGCCAAGAGATAAGAGGTGAGCCGTCTTGAATGGCGAGTTGGATCCGTCGTTTGTCCCTCTTGAATAGCTCAACCGCTGGACGCGGCAAGACCCAATCCAATCAGGTTAGAGGTCCAAGATAGCGTCAGGTCTGTGAGAGCACACCAGTAAAGTGCGCGATCGTGCCGACAATCACACCATTCGCTGTTTCGACGGTAGTACTTGCAGTATTGGCGGAGGAGACTAGCTGGCTACACGACAGCATATAGATTCCATCCATTTACGGAGTGTCAATTCAAAGAAAGGGTGGTCTGTCTCCACGTTTTCGTACTATATTGCTAGTCATACCAAGTGACATTTAGGATGATCTGGAAATTAGCGGGAAGTACCTACATCTGAGAAAGCATGATCTCCTTCTTACGTGCTTGCATGGGCGGAAACAGGTGGCATAGAGACTAATAATGGCCACATGCAGTGTGATGCCTGAAAGCCGAGCCTGGAAACAATAGACAGAGACTCGGTGAACGTGGAGAAGCAATCAGGCGTTCCTTTTTCTTCTCTATACTCTATGTACTTTTGGCAGAATACCATGAGACAGATACTCTGTACAGTAGAGTCCGGGAGGACAACAAAGAACCTCCTAGGGCCTAAGGTCTCCGGGCCCTCGAATAACTACTACACAGTTGGAGCAAGCACAGCCTCGCCATGTGCATTCTTGCTCTTCAACCTCACCACGGAATCATACTTCCTCTGGTCGAAAACCTTCACATCATCGGCAGCAAAGACTGTCCCTTCCTTGCGTGCCTTGCGCTTCAGCTTGGCAATACGTAGGACATCCATCTCCAGGTCTTTCGTCAGCCACCAAGATAATAGATTGGTGAACACAGCGGCAATGATGCCGGATGCAGCGATGGCGAAGCTGGTCTTGTATCGATTGTAGGCCCACTTGGACTGGAAGAGCTGAGGACCAACCACCCCTCCAACCTGGCCCATGGAGTTCTGGATTGCCAAAGACAATGCAGCTCCGGTCGAGCCTTTGAGGGTGATGGATCGCCACGCCCAAAAGGGCATAAAAGATCCTTGGTAAAAGAACTGGCCGAGAATGCAGGCGGCGTAGAGTCCTCCTCGAGAGTCGATGGTGAAAAAGAGGACGAAGCAGACGACCATTCCGACAAAGTTTATCCTGGGGTGGCCCGTCAGAAACTCAGCAAATAAGACAAAGACATGAGAGAGGGCAAGAATAAGGCAACGAGACGCAACGTACATGAGCAGGGCCGGTCGAGGCATCAACGCCTGGCGAAGTAAGAAGGCCGCAAGTAAGACCCCGATGATGGAGCCAGCCGCGGGAGGGATATTGAGGAGCTGATTTTTGGGCAGCTTTGCGAATCCCAAGTCCGTTAGGATGGTTGGCAGATACCAGGTTAACGAATACCCGCCCATGTTGACAAACAAGTGGCTAAATCCAAATGACCAAGTCGTGGGAGCCTTAAGCGCTGCGATAACTTCCTTTTTACTGAACAACGGGTCGCTCGTCAGAGGTGTATTCTCCGTCAAACGGGTCTCGATGAATTCTTGCTCGCGTTTGGTGAGCCATTTGTCGCTGCGGGGAGACTTTGGGTAGTCTGGCAGGAAGTACCAGACGAAACCGGAGAAGACGATGGTGAAAAGGCCTTCCAGAAGAAATACCCTTGATGCAAAAGTCAGCCCTCAGCTCAGTCCAGTGTGAGATGCACATGCACCCAGAGCGGGGGAGACCAACCATCTCCACGCGCTCATTCCACCCTTGCCGTTCATATAGCTGATTCCATAAGCCAGTAAGGATCCCACAATGGACGCCGTGCCCTGAACGGCCTGGGAGAACGACGTTGGGTTCCCCATCTCCTCGGTCCGGTACCAGCTGGTCAGTTGACAGATGACTCCGGGGAAAAGACCAGCTTCCATCATTCCCAGCAAGAAACGCAGGGCCAGAAGCGATGCGCGGTTCTTGACGGCGGCATGGCAAGCAAGGACAATGCCCCAGGTGAGGAAAATGCGAGACTGCCAGCGATGCGGACCAATCCACTTGAGCATCAAGTTGCTAGGAGTTTCAAAGATGATGTAGGCGATCTGATGTGATGTGATGGCCTGGTTAGCAGTGTTTGGACGGCGGCGTGACCCGACCAATGCCTACATAGTAGATTGATTGCACCCAGTTGTACTGATTGGGCGTCATGTGAAGCTCTTTGAGGATGTTGCTTTCCTGGCCCACTTGAAGGACCTTGACGTTGGCAGCATTGGTGAAATCGACCTATACAGTAGTACAGGAGCTGTCAGTAAGGGGCTCCAGACCCAGACCTCGCCAACGCCATGATACTGTACTGACCGTCTTGATCAAGAACATCAACCCAATCAAGAGGAAGAAATGCTGATCGACCTTGCGCATAATCTTCTTCTCCTCTTCGGCCGTGAAGGTAGCTAGGAACGCTGCTTTAGCTTCCGGGTCATCACGAAGAGTAGTGGTATCAACCCCCCGCGAGATGACGGCGTCAGCTTGCTTTCTTGTCTCCTGGGCAGTCTTGCTGTCGACCGCGGGGGTGAAGGAAGCCATTCTTGCCACTGTGCTGAGGAGTGGTAAGTGGTAAACACGGTTGCCTGAGGTTGGTCGTGGACGGTCCATTTCTGTCCCAATCGTGTCTCTTTATGCTTTTACCAGGCCGAACATTTTTTCGGCCCAACCAAGCAAGATAGACGCGATGGTGTGCGCACGCCGGAAAATGACAACAATTCCCAAATTGCTATAAAAGCTGCTTCTCTGCGAGTGTCTGACCGAAGGTGGAGGAGGCTTGCCGTTTCTTCCAGCTACCCACGACCCTCTTTCGTCTACGGAGACAGAGTAGAATCTTTCTCAAGTCCCACAACCATGCTGGGCATTGCGACGGATTAGACCCTAGAGTATGACTGCCTACTAGTGGTTTCTGGGAGCGCGGCCTGACCTGTCGGACTCGCAGGCCGACGGTTTGGTGCTTGGTGTATTTGAGTAGCCACTGGTTGAGCCTCTCTCCCTCCATCCCGAGCTCCTCTCTCTCTGTCGGACTTGTTGGATTTGGGCAGTTGGAAATCCCCATACACTTGACCCTTCACAAGCATGGGGGAAAAGACCAAGTCGGTTTTAAGGAAATGAATCCCTCTCCAGGTTTGGACTCAGATTTCTTGATGTCAAGGGAGTGGGTCACATTTATCCGAAGGCCCATGGGGCTCGGACGCTATAGTAGTATATAACACGTACCTATGGAGTATGATGCAGTGTGCACAGCTCGTAGTGGACTTGGCTCAATCTACTTCGAACCTCATCCTGATAACGGCCAGACTAGCAATATCGCACGATTTGGTCTACAATCACACCATCAGTCTTCACGATTTTAAACTTTGGACAACTGGAAGGTCATCCACAGCCTCGTAAGTCCATGGCGAATGGAAACTTATCAGACCCGTAGAAATAGAAAGCATTATGAGCTCAGCTGTTGATTGGCTAGCTGTCCTTGTCCTATACCGTGCCATGATTAGGACAGTGTCCTATGTTGATATTGGTGGTGGTCCTATCCACGGTGCGGCAATTCACAGTGAGTATGGCGCCATTGCGAAGAACCTTTCGCTCTGTCGACCTTGTTGGAGTTGAAAACAGGAAGGATGTGTGTTTTCCTGGTCCAGCTCTGCCTTGACCGTTCAACCTCTCTCTGCTGCCTTCAAAATGGTCGCTCAAGTGGATTCCAAAGCAAATAGCCAATGTGGATTGGCTATTCCAGTCCCTGAGAAGAGATCGTCCTACTATCCCAAATCACGACCATTTGACCGGCACCGACCAGTCAAGGTATAATATAATACTTCTCCCTGCTTTACCAAGGAAGGCATCTCTCATGATCTCTGCAGTTGATCATTGTCGGAGCAGGGATTGCGGGAATCTCTGCAGCCATCCTCATCCCCCGAAAAGTTCGCAACTTGTCCTACGTTGTTTACGAAAAGAACAAGAGAGTGGTGCGTATCAAATCTAAATCTAATGGTGTCTACTGTTTCTTGTTACCTGGGACCTGACTTTACTTGCAGGGCGGGGCTTGGGAAGAGAACAAGTATCCTGGCGTGCGATGTGACGTGCCCGCTCATACTTACCGTAAACTAGGCCCTGTCAATTGTCATGTACTTCCTACGCTGATCAACTTGCAGAGCTTTCATTTGCACCCAACATTCGATGGTCGGAGTACTATCCGAAAGGGTCCGAAATCCGTCAGTACTACCAGGATGTGGTGGACAAATACGGCGTTTCAGAACATCTACGCGTGCGACATGAGGTGAGCAAGGCAACTTGGCGGGATGATTTGTCTCAATGGGAGGTTACCGTGAAGGACCTGGAGACGGGGACGACGCATATGGACTTTGCGGATTTCTTCCTGTCTGCGCCAGGCTTACTGAACAAATGGTCCCTACCCGATATTCCCGGTCTCCAAGACGAATACCAGGGACACCTGTGTCATACAGCGAACTGGGATCCCGATTTTGATTATCACGGTAAGCGCATTGCTGTCATAGGTAATGGGGCAAGCGGCCTTCAGATTCTCCCAAACCTCCTTGCGGATGCCGGTCACATAGACCACTATGTCCGCTCCAAAGTCTGGGTTGCTCCAGCATTTCGAAAGGATCTCCTTCCGGCCACGGCGGAGAACCCGGGCGGCGAACCCTATACCGAAGAACAAAAGGACGAATGGACCAATAATCCCAAGGCCTATCTAGAGTATCGGAGAAGCCTGGACATCATTTTTCACCCGCCCTGGGCAAACCAGGTCAAAGACAGCCCGCAGAATCGGTTGGTACGAGAGCGTTCTACCCAGACCATTCTGGAGCGCGTGGGTGGCGACAAGGCGTGGTTGGAGCGACTCTTGCCTGAATATGCACCGGGCTGTAAACGTCCCACACCCGCCCCAGGTTATATCGAAGCCATCCTCGATCCCAAGGTCGAATATATCACGGAAAAGATCACTCGTGCTACCTCGACGGGTCTAGTAACGGCAGATGGCAAGCTTCGAGAGGTCGACGCAATCATTGCAGCCACTGGCTTCAGGGATGGAACCATCCCACGCTTCCCAACCATTGGTAAGAATGGGACTGATCTCAGCAAATATTGGGCCTTTGACGGCCCCGTGGGCTATCCGGAAACCTATCTCGGCGTCATGGCTCCAGGCTTTCCCAACTACTTTTTCATCCATCAGGTATGCTGTCTTCATTCCCAAATCACCTCTCCGACCGTCAGTCGGTGGAGGATATCCTGCCATCCGCATATTAATCATGGTCATGTGTTCAGGCCCAAGGAAATGGAGCTGGTGGCACTGTTCCAATGCAGTGCGAAATGTCGGCCACATATATCGCCAAAGTCATCAGGAAGGTGCAAAGCCAAAGCTACAAGACGGCCGTCCCGTCCCAGGAGGCGACAAACGACTTTAACGACATTGTGGATGGGGCCTTCGACAACAGTGTTTTGTCGGATTCGTGTAACAGTTGGTTCAAGCCAGGGCCGGGCAAAACCCGCATTACTCTCCATTGGCCGGGGACTTTCCATCATCGCTTCGACGCATACCGCGATCCTCGTTGGGAGGATTTTGTCTTCGAGCGACAGGACGATGCCAGGGCGAATCGATTTGAATATTTTGGAAACGGTTCTGCAGCATTCGAAGAGACAGGCAGCGTTTTGGAATTCACCAACTATCTCAAGGAGCCTGGAACCGTAGATTTGGCGACGCTCCACGAGAATTGGAACGAGTGAAGCGCGAAAGCGAAGGGAAAGGCGAAGGCGAAGGTAGCGCTGCAGCTTCGCGACCAAGTTTTCATCAGCAGTGGACTGGAAATGTTTCAAAGCAAGTGTCCTACCCAGCTGCGACTGGGCTTGTCAGGTATAAAAGTTCTCCCAATAGACAGCCACCTGCACGCAGGCTAGATACGGTACATAGGTACTGTACCTATGAGTACAATCCTAAGCCGAAAACGTGGGCGAACTACCTATACCTATAGTAGAATGAACTGGCAAGGAGGACAAGGTTGAAGCGTTGTCGGCCCACGATTATTTCGACGGCACTTTGTACTCGGTATTCTGTGCTTTGTACGTAGTACTTCTCACAGCTTTGAGCAATGGATGGTGACGTCGAGATCATCGCCGTGGGGGAAGATGACCTGACAGCAAACGCTGTAAAGTGCGGGGCAAGTTATTCAACAGTCTTAGGCGGCATTTCCTTTTTCGATCTTTAGCATTCTCGTCATCCGTCTTGGAGTACTGTACTTTACTGCACAACCGCAATTGCACCTGTCGTTGCAGTTTCTAGTCTGGCAGTGGCATGGCGTATGCCGGAAGACTCGCAATCGTTGCCGGGGGAATCGGTAAGGGCACCAGCAAGCCTTAGGGCCACTCTGAGGAAGTGCGTCTTGCTGACCGGCTTAGGCGGGTTGGGCTCTGCCGTGGCTTACAATCTTCGTGAACTAGGGGCTGAAGTCGCCCTACTCTATGCACCGTTCGAAGCTGGCCGGGTCGAGGAGACTCTTACAAGGGTATTTCGAAGCCGAACCCCCGACAGGGTGCACACGTTCGCGTGCGACATCACGGTTGAAAATTCGGTCCTAGAGGTCTTCTGTGATATTTCCAACCTCGAGCCTTTCCCATCTATCTTGATCAATGCTGCGGGATATGTCTCGGTCCAGCCCCTGGAGGACACTTCGGCAGAGGAAGCGTTGAGGAACTTCCTTCCCAACATGTTAGGTCCTTTCATCACCAGCAACGCATTCTTCCACTTATACCAAAGCCGAGCCTCTCACGCCGCTGGGAACGTACCTCCTGGACGTATCGTGAGCATTGCGTCTCAGGCCGCTCATGTCGCCCTCGATGGCCATGGCGCTTACTGCGCATCGAAAGCTGGACTTATCGGACACACAAAATGCATGGCGAGTGAATGGGGGTCCAGAGGCATTACTGCAAACACCGTGAGTCCAACAGTGACGTGGACGCCGCTTGCAGCCAAGGCATGGGCAGATGACACCAAGAGAGAGAAACATCTGGCTCAAATTCCGACAGGCAGGTTCAGCTCACCCTCTGAAGTTGCCCACGCCATTGAGTTTCTCTGTCGAGACGAAAGTGCCATGATCAACGGAGCAGATATTCGAGTAGACGGAGGCTTTACCATTAGCAGATAGATGGACATTATTGATATTAAGAATGGTTTCGACCCTTTTTTTTACCCCTTTCGACCCCATTCGGCTTCATGGTCTACAGAGATCTATCATCCTCACCCTGGGGCTCTGGAGACCAACTGACCAAAGCCCGATCGTATCCCTTGACATATCCTTTCCACAAAGTCGTCCTCGTCCTCTTCCGAAGCCAAAGCCAGTGCGCCAGCTTGCCAGCTAACGGCTATGGAGAGAGGCCCATTGGCGACGCTGACGACATTAAAATTCAGTGGCGCACCGAGGACATCGGCCGGCTGGCAAAAGATCATCTCCGTCACAGCGCACCGGCTCGTAGGGCGTGCCGGCTGGAAGCTGACGAGGTTACTGACCTCATACGAGCAATCTCGCGGCTCACCAAGCTGAGACGAAACCCATGAGCGGACGTCGCTCAAGTATCTGAGTAGACCGAGGGGCTGGTCTCGTAGCTCCTTTGCTGCTGCGGCCAGTCTCTCGGTGACAGCTTGTACCGACTCCCAGTCGACCTCTTGAACGATGTCGGACCCGGCTAATTTCTTGATGGCGTGGAATTGAGTGACGGCTGTGATGAAATTGCCCATCTCATCGTTGGACTTGCCGACTGGCCCTCGCATGTTGAGTGCCGTCCGTGCTGCAAGGTGGTCGAGGTCGTCGCGGTGAGCGAAAGCCTCGGACAGTGAGTTAATGATCAACTGGTGAAGCAGCCCCGTCAGCTTTCCTTGGTGTGCCCGGCAGACTTTGAGCGCTTCCTTGACCGTGGCCGCATCGATGGACAGGACTTTCACACAGGTCTGGTGTTTTTCGGGATTGTAAAACATTTTTGATGCCGTCCATATGCCTGCAGGAGCCGTGATACCGAACCCAAGCAGAGAGGCGACACGTTTGGGAAGGATGACGCCCAGTAGTGGTCGAAGGAGAAAGGACCAGGAGATGGGAAGGTTCGTCGATGTATCAAATGGCGGATCGAGTTGCTGCAAGTTGGGGGTCCAGATCAACTCCCTTTCCACGCCTGTTTCTTGGAGAGCGTCGAGGAAGGTTCTATGGAAGGCTATGCCCGACATGCCGTCTCCCAGGGAATGAGAGAAGGAGAAGCCGAGAAAGCATCTCTGCTGGGAGAAGGGGATCACGGTGATCTTCCAAGCCGGAATATGAGGAGGCCCCATTGAATCGAGCATGACCGGCAAGGCTTCCTCGACGGATTGGACTCCGTGACGTCCATCGCGTTGTGGGAGGATCTGGACATGTCGGCTCAAGTCGAGACAAGCACAGGCTTTGTAGTAGGGTGACTGGGTTCCAGGCTCGGCGACCGTGCAGCATAGCTGCGGATGGTGGCGCACACACTGTCGCAAGGCGTGGACGTAGGTTGAGATGGATGCCAGTTCCACCGGCTCAGAAAACTGGTAGATACCTCCCACAATCAGAGCATGGTAGAAGCCCAGTGATTCCCGAGCGACACAACGACGCTCGTTCGGACCTGCATCGAGAGTGTTAGTGGATGAGGATGAAGGGCAGCTGTGTCTACCACCGCAATGGGCATGTCTAACTTGTAGCTCGCAGGTAACCGTCTCCTTTAGGGGTCTTGGACCCGATCAACCACATCTTGAATCTTGACACCTAAGTTGCGTGCCCTCGCTGGCGTAGTTATCTTCCACTGTACCATAGACGACGTAGTAACAGAGTCCCCTGAAGTCGAACCTGAGTTACGGCGGAATGTCTTTCTCGCCGTGAAATCTTGAAACTGAAGTTGATGGTTGATTGGGTAGTTGGTGCGACTCTCATAAGGGCATGAAGAGGTCGAGTTTATACTTGTAGTTCCAGACATAGGGTTGAGCTGAAATTGAGCCGGTTGACCTAAACCTCACCCCGTTGGCATGTGGCAGACGCAATTTGCGACATCCATTGCTGGGACCGTTCAGCCGAGACACGCTTGCTTGCCATCGGAGAGATGATTCCGGATGCAGCCAAGTCGTGACAAGGTAGAGATAACAGCTCGGGCAGAGCTTTATCGAATCTTCATTAGGTCTATCATCACTCTCGATACGGAGAATGCATAGCAACTAGGCTTGGTGGGTGTCTGTCTGTCATATCCCTTTTCTCGGTCGCCTGGAAAAATTTCCAGCGGCCCACCGGAGGGTTACTGCCTATTTGGGAACCATCATGCCATGGAATCCATCAGGCCGCTAGAAGCAAAGCTGGGAATCTTTGAACCATTGAATTCTCAGAAGTCGGCATTACCTATTCCAGTGGTCGTATCTTCAAGTAATGGGCCCGCTTGGGTAGATCTGAGAACATGAACATGAGATGTCTCCAGGTGGAGGCGCAAGGTGTGCCTGCTTACTATGGTGCTAGGAGCCCCCTTTCATGACTTCACTTATCGGACCACCATAAAGAGCCGGGTTGGACCAGCTGCTCGAGGAGGGAATCAAAGATTCAAGTTGTGACTTGTTCCGAATCTTCCTCCCAGCGCCCGTCCTGCCCGTCCTGCCCTTCTCTCCAGCCTCCTTCCTAAGATCACCCTATGCCCTCAATGGCGATCAGTGTCAAGAATGGCGATGCTCACGCCCCGGCGGAGTTCGACCTTCGCAGTACGTCCTACCTGTCTTGTTCGATACGGTCCTTGTTGCTAAAGCTGATGTCCTTCTAGGCGATATAGTGACTGTGCCCACTCGGGCCATGCTGGATGCCGTCGCCAATTCTACCTACAAGGACGATGTGTATCGAGAAGATGCCACCACCGAAGACTTCCAGGCAGAGATGGCGAAGATGCTCGGACATGAGGATGCTATTTTTATGCTCTCGGGAACCATGAGCAATCAACTTGCCCTCAGATCGTTGTTGACCCAGCCACCGTACTCAGTGCTGTGTGACTCTCACGGACACATCATTCACTACGAAGCGGGAGGGGTGGCCAGCCTGTCAGGTGCAAGCATCCAGCCGGTGGAAGCTCTCAACAAGAAATACTTGACCCTAGAGGATATCTTGGAAAAGGCCGTCCTTGACGACTATGTGCAATACTCCCCTACCAGGGTCATCTCCCTTGAAAATACTCTGAATGGAGTGGTATACCCTTTGGACGAAATCCGGAGGATCTCTGCATTCGCCAGAGCACATAATATCAAGATGCATCTTGACGGTGCCCGCCTCTGGGATGCAGTGGTTGCTGGAGGAGGCAGTCTGAAAGATTACGCTCAAGAGTTCGACACCGTCAACTTGTGCTTTTCCAAAGGGTTGGGCGCTCCTCTGGGGAGTGTTCTCGTCGGCAGCAAAAAGACAATTGCGCAGGCGAGGAAGGTCAGACAGAGTATTGGAGGAGGCATGCATCAAGCGGGGGTGCTCACGGCAATGGCTCGGGTGTCGTTCATAGATACCTTTGGGGGAAGAGTTGACGGTAAAGGGTCCCTGCTGTTGCGAGGCCATCAGAATGCAAAACACCTTGCTGATCTTTGGGTCCGCCTTGGTGGGAAACTCCTCGGTCCGACAGAGACGTGCATGGTATTCTTGGACCTCAAGGATATCGCCTTGTCTCGAACCGAGCTCGAAAAGATGGCGCTAGACCACGGACTGATCATCAAGAATGAGCGACTGGTGGTCCACTACCGTAAGTCTTGCACAAGATCGCATGGCAAAGCAGAGCTGATGTTGTTGACAGAAATCTCCGATGAAGCTGTTCGACGGATCGAGAAGCTGTTTGCCGCCATTTTTGAGAGAGCAAGCGTAAATAAATAGAGGTCGTGAGGGAACGTGCAGGGCTGTCGTAGCGAGTGGGAAATGTCGGGATGGACACGACGTGATTTGCAGATTTCATGACAAGGCAGAGAAGGTGGTCTGAACAGCTCTGCGTCACATAGTTGCAAAACAATGCCCGAAGGCCCTTCCGCACTGACCAAGGTACTGTACAGGACAAGAGTGTCGAAGGTACATGTAGTTTCCAGCCTCGAGATCGAGACATGGTGTCTTCTCTCAATCACTCCTTATGGCATCACAACAAAATAGGGTCCTTCATCCACCAAGTCCAACATGAACCTCGTGGTGCTGGCACGTCGTTCTGCCCAAACGTAGGCACGCAGAGCCTGCATCTTAGCAAAGCAGAGCGGGGCCAAGGCCAACGATGGGATGCTTTTCCACACTTCCTTCGGGATCTCTAAAATCTCCAGCGAGGCCATGAAGATCGGAAAGGCGACATTGTGCAATCCTGCACCTGGCTCCATCGACGTCTGATACTGTGTAAATTCAAAGATGATGGTGTTCGCGTACGACGTGGCGAGATCATCGCCCGTGCCCAAGGGATGCAGAGTACGGTGGGCTATCAAGAGCCCCGCCGACCGGTACATTTGAGCCTGCGCTTTCATGGCCAGTATCTCCTGCCTGGAGAACGTACTGATAAAGTCATGTGGCGCTTTGGGCGTCCATGAGAGCAGCCTCTGCTCGATCTGTCGGATACGGGCATTCCCCTCCGACCAAGAGTAACTGGACCGATTCTTGAGCCTCTTGATGACCACACATAGGTCGTAGAATATCGGCAGTAGTGTAGTACAGAGCCCGACCATATGATGGACTATGTGACCTTCTCGGGGCCAGAATTGAAGGATGGGAATCTCACGCCTCAGCAAGCAGGAGACGGTGTCCCAGAAGATCGGGCCGACGGTCAGAGGGTCGAACGTCGCATCCCCTCCCAGCTCCTCGTACCATGGTCGAATCGAGGACAAAGTGTATCGCAGGATGAGTGACGGACCTACGCACACGGTCAAATAGTCAAATGCCGCCAATGTCTGACCAAGGGCCAGCATCGCGAGTGCGTCCTGCAGCCCACCAACTCGCGTGGTTCGGAGTTTCCGCAGAGACATCGCGCCCGGCGCCAGCTCTGACACATCGAAGGCGCCCGAACCGACTCTTGCTCTTTTGCAGGCGTTGAACATTGCCGCGTAAATGTCTTGCAAGAGCACGGGTGAGCAGATGTACGATTGCCGGATGGCGGCGCGGTACCTTGGCACAAAGGTTGGGCCAAGCATGAACAGGTCATATGTCGAGTAGAAGCCCTCGATGATTTTGGGCGAGGAATGAAACAGCTCATTGAGATTGTCTTGGAATCGGTAGGTGTATGGGCCTGGCACTAAGGTTTGAAAGTGCGCATCGTTGCTGTAAACCTCGTTGTCGTATATTGTCGGGGAGCAACCTCCTGCAACACTGGCACCCACATACGACGGAGTTGATGTGCTTTCGCTGGTAGCTGTCGTGGTACTTGTGACCTCCCATACCTGCACAGAACTACCTGGACCCAGGCGCTTGGATGTCGGTCGTCGACCCTGGCGTGGGAGCGAGCGGAGTGTCGTGCAGGTTCGGCCTACCCGTTTGCATGGAGTGCATGTCTTCCCGTCATCCTGAAAGACGCACTTCTCCTTATACCGGTAGCATCGGTCACAGGCTCTTCGAGCAGTCATGCCCTTACCATTTCTTGACTAGGGATGAATACCAACAGTGTCGGGATAAATGTTGATATAGCACAATTTAATTGAAGAGAAAAGACAAAATCATCTGGATGAAAGATTATTCTGTACAGTAAATACGTTACGCTATCCTGCTCCTGGCAGGGTGACCTATGGGGTTACTTTATAACCCCGCAGGAGTTATTAGAGCTGTATACATCCTAGCCCTCCCCACCTACTGCCTATAAGCACCTGATAGGTATATTTCAACTTGCCTAGGAGGTCATTAAACGGTCAACTCGTCGCTCCAAGCCTACAGTTGCTTTCCCAGCCTAAACCTAAGTACACATCATCTATGTACACAATTCATCTGCAAATCTCAACATTCATGGCAATCCTCGATTCATAGTGCATCTGTCCTCATGGCATTCATCGTCCTTCCACTCTTCACTCTTCACACATTCATCAGTCGGTCCGACTGAACCTCCACCCTCGTTGGATGAATCCAGCCCTGTAAATGGCGAGCCTCGACGCTACACGATCCAGATCCAAACCTATGGCGAACGTCGAATGTCAGCGAGTGGTAAAGATCAGAGTGCCTCGGCCAGATTAGGAACTCGCCTTTTGGAGGAAATTCTTGGCTACCGGCTCCTGCCAGACCTCTGCATCAATAGATGCTTTCCCAGTCCAAAGATCCGCTTCCGCCGGGTCGACGAACTTGGTCTTCTTGAATACTTTCCAGAAGATGAAAAGTCCGAAAAAGACACTGCAAGTAATTGTCAGTGTCACCATGCCTCCAACTTTGGCTTGGGCCATAATTACGGGACGGTGATGTACGTGGAAATGAAGGTGTCGGTGTCCCATGGAGTAAAGGCATAAAACCCGTTGAACAACATGAGGACGGCCAAGAACACCATGGTCGCCCAGGCAAGGTAAGGTTGGAATGGCGACTTGAAAGGCAAGTCGTCTCGATTCACGCCTTGCTTCTTCAGAGCGGCATAAAAGCGCACGTATGTGATGCAGATTGTCAGCCAAGAGAACATGGAAACCAGGGCTGAAATGTTGCCTAGCCAGATGAAGACCTTGACCGGTCCGGCCGAACAGCTGAGATAGGTCAAGCCAGTCAGCAGTGCTGTAAACCCCACGCCGTAATAAGGAATTCCTCTATGAAAAGTCAATTTCGCATTCAGAGAGAGTGTCGCTGGCCAGGTTACCTTTTGGAGCAACGAAGGAAAAACCTGGGTGCGAGGCCAAGCTGGGCCATGGCCATCAAGTAGCGACTGCCGTTGTACAAACATGCATTGGCCGCAGAGGTCGCAGAGCTCAGAATTACCACATTGATGATAGATGGGAGTGCTGGAATGCCGGCACGTTTGATCGCGATCACCCAGGGAGAACTGGCGGCGCCCGGGGCGCCAGTCGCCAACGCTGTCAACAGGTCAGGATCATTGTAAGGGACCAGGACTCCAACGGCGAGCGATCCAAGAACATAGAACAAGAGCAGTCGCCAGAACACTCGGCGAATGGCTTTCGGGAGATTCCTCCTTGGATTTTCGGCTTCGCCGGCGGCAATGATGACGGATTCGACGCCTCCGTAGGACAAAGCGCCCATAACGAGACTGAAGAAGAACCCCAGGAATCGTCCCTCCGATCCTCCTGCCACAAAGGTATTCATGGCCCCGGGGTTTTTCCAATACCGAAATCCGATACGATCATGATTTGGACCGCCGCCTAGATCGAGGACCAGGGCCAGAATGAGGAGCCCGACAATTGTGATGATCTTTAAGCTGGCGAACCAGAACTCCGCTTCGCCATAGATGGAGACTGCGAAGAGATTCAGGAACACCAGGAGCACGATGATGATGCTGATCCACACAGCGACCTGCTCAAGCGTCAGGCAGTTAAGACGAACCTTGATACTAGGCCTCCTTCCCCAAAGTACTCACGTTGATGGTCGTGTTCCAATAACCTATGATGACAGCAGCGGCCGAGATTTCAATGCATATCGTAATGGTATAGCTGTACCAACCCTACCAACGGACAGTAAGTCATCATGTCCACCTTGGTGTATTTACCCGGTCCTGCGGCACTTACATTCCATCCGACGGCAAAGCCCAGAGATTTGTCCACATAGCGGGAGGCGAAGCTAGGAAGAGCCGCGGGCATCGGTAGCCATGTGGTCATCTCGCCCAGGCATTGCATCTATATAGACGGTCAGTTCATCCAAACTGCGGTACGGGAAGGCCCGAAGCAGTGATGTACTGACCATTCCAAATATCGCCATACCGGAGATGGTGAATCCTAGAAAGATGCTGAGCGGGCCGGCGGCGGCCAACGCTCTTCCAATTCCCAGAAATAACGCCGTCCCAATCGACCCGCCGAGGCCCATGAATTGGATGTGTCGGGCTTTGAGACTGTCAAAGCATCAGTCAATCTCTGCCAACGGGGACCCTAATTTCAGGTCTTTCTGATGAAAAGGGGTTGGCTAACCCTCGGGCAACATAGCGGTAGGATTCAGCCGCTTGTGGATCGCCATAGAGCTCAGCTGCTTCGGCAAGATGGACAGCACCAGTATGCTCGACTTTGTCGCTGAGCACTCCATCGTCAATGTCGACCCCCATAGGCCGCTGCTCTACATCGAAAGACTTTTTCTCTGACATGGTAAAGCCGTTCCCTGTAAAGAGGTCAAAGTTTTCTTTCCAGATCATCACGGTGGCTGCTCGAATGGACCTATAAGTAGCTGTTCATCGGGGGCCGGATAACAAGACATCCAAGAGATGTCTGGCTATCAGACGGACAAGCAACAGCCGTATCTTTGCCATGTGAGGCATTCCTGGACGTCTTTGCATGACTGCCAAAGATAACTGCAACTGCTGTCACAGTCCTTTACTTGAAGCTTTTCCATTCCCGGCATTTAATCGCCGGTCAAGAGCAGGAGGGTTATTGTATCAGCCAATCTGGGTCAGGCACTACCAGGACTAAGCCCTTTTCAAGATGCCAAAGATAACTGTAGTTTCTATCCCAGTCTTGTAATCAAAACCTTTCCTTTCTCGGCACTTAGTCGCCGGTCAACGAATCCTAGATCTGTCTATCGAAAACAGATTAGACTATGCTGATTCAATCTCTTTGCCTATCAAGTTTTCAATACGGTAGACAGTTCGCCTCTCCTAAAATTGACCTTATCTGTTGTAAAGAATATTCTACCACGTGGCCCAGGCGAGTCTTAGAGAAAGACTATTTTATCACCAATCAATTTTGTAATCAAGATAAGAGCAGGACGTCAGGTGTTTGACATCAGTGATAGACCCGACTATCTTATCCAGGCATATATGTACTTCTCTAGATCAGTACAGGGTTGATAAACCTCTAGGCATGACTTGATGATTATTTTCCCTATGATCATGTTGATTAAATATATACCGTATCAACCCAATAACAGGTTCAGCTTATGGCTGGCCCCGTTATCGTACGTATATCGTCCCTTTGGGCTACAGGCAAATCTAGTAATCATAGAATACCAGCGTCCTCACCTCAATGCTCTCCCTGGGTGAATCATTCTCATGCGCTGGATTCACAAACGCTGTGTGCGGAATTCTCCTCGCGCGGCCATCGTCAACAGAATCGAAGCACTTGATGAGCAGTGGTTCATCGGGTCGTTGCGCGTACTTGAAGTACCACTGGTGGCTCGGGTTAGGCTTGACCACGTATGTCTCGCCCTCGCGGTCTGGGTAGACCAACTTGGCGGGGACGAGATCACTGTCGGGCACGGAATGGGCGTCGGCAAGGGTGAGCGGGTCTCTGAAAATGGTCTTAATCGGTCGCCACACCTGCGGCACGGAAAGAGTTGAGCCTATCGCATCGATCGTTGAGGAAGGAGGGGACTTACGTTGATGATCTGGTATCGCTTCTTGAGAAGCTCGTCGGCTTCATCAGGAAGGTGGTGCTTAACACGCTTCTCTGAGGCACCATAAGACTGGTCAATGTGTACCCGGCGTGCAGGGCCACGGAGCTGGCCAGCGATGTCGCGTGCGTCGGTGGTCGCACGGCGGATCGTGTGATCGAAGATGAAAATGCGAGTTGCTCCAGTGCTGTAGGACAGAAGATCAGTATTAGGGAGGCTTCATCCGCGGGTCCGACTGGAAGGTTGCTCACGTATCCTTCAGAAGTTGTTCAACTTCCGGGTAATATTCTGCCTTAATCTTCTCGTCGTTGCGGAAATCCTTCTCCTTGCTTTCATGCTTCACAAACTGAAAGCCGTGACTGTCGAGGGTGTATTTATCCTCGTCTCCCGAAATGTCGTGGATGACCACTTTCTGGGCGACATGAGGGCGGAGTTGAGTGTCTGGTTTACTAATGGTTCAAATCTTAGAATGGAGGATCTCTTTTGAACTGGTACTTGACCGACTGAGAAACTCACCCCACGTAAGCAGGAGCGGGCAGAGTTCCATCACCGGGATCCTTGTAATAGTTCAGCTCCGTAGCGACGTCGTGCTTTGCAAGCTTCTGTTCCTGCGCAAAAGGTTCGACGACCTGCCCGAAGGTGTTGCCCGGGGCATGCTGAACTGCAGCGGTAGCCATGATTTGATGTATCTTATTCAGGCACTCTGGAAATGATTTGGGGTTGTACTTCGCCTCAACAACAGCTTCCAGATGTGATTGACTGTCTAGATATATCGCCTCGACCCCTCACATGAATTTGTAATCTGGTCACCTTCCCGAGCACGCGATACATGCAAAAAGCATGTCATGCCTCGGACATCATCATGAAAGTTGTTGGACTACCTTGTCGAATGGCCTACGGGCTCTTTGCTATGTGGCTAGGCTACCCTTGTCTCCGCGGGTGTACCACTCCAAGACTCATCGTGCTGCCTGAGAGCTATGGATATGCCGTTGTACTGAACTAGGTCATCCCTCCATGCACCCCCCTTTGCTTAGAAATGCTCGTTGAATGGCCTCACATCAATTTCCTGCGTAAAAGCTGATTTATGTTGCGTATGCAGGTTCCAGTAGCTTTCGGCAATCTTGTAACCAGTCAACATCTGACGTGAACAGCAAATGGCTTGGGACACTCACAGCAAACGGGCTTATCTTGCCATCCGGTGTTACATCATTGTTAGCAGCATGCGCTGCATCGGGGACATCGATGCCGCCATCGATGATGGCGTGGGCGACATGAACTCCCGCCGGACCAAATTCTCGGGCCAGAGACTGGGTCAAGATACGTCCCGCAGACTTGCCTGCCGCGATAACAGACCATAGTTTGGACCCTCTGATTGACGCAGTCGCTCCAGTGACTATCAAAGTTGGCGGATGAGGAGAACTGTCGACAGATTTCAGAAGGAGTGGGACTGTGCGTTGAGCAAAAGTGAAGAGACCACGGCTAGAATATAATCCTCCATTAGAGACACGACTCTGAGTGAAGGGGCTTTTGCAAGGGAAACTAGGACATACACATTGCCGTTGAGGCTGACGTCCAAATCCTCCAAATTCAGCTCCAGGAAGGGCTTGCGACTTGGCCGCGAGTTTGGTCGGACATTATAGATGGCCGCGACAAGCTGCAACCCCTCGAACTCCTTGTTGATGGTTTCAAACGCCGAAGCGAGGGAAGCCTCGTCTGTTGCATCTGCGGAAATGCCAATCGCTCTCCCGCCGGCCTTGTTGATCTGAGCAACAACGTCGCTGTAGCTTTCCGGGTGACGAGCCAGCAAGACCACCGGGTAGAACTCGGAGAATTTGAGAGCGACCGATCTCCCAGTGCCGGGGCCGATACCAGCTACAAGCGCGAAGAACTTGTTGGACACCATCCTGTGGCTGTAGTTTGAAGACACCTAAGGATTCCGTTTTGTCAGAGTCGAGCAAGTATATGTTGGCAACAACGTCAAATTATAAGTACACCATCATGTTGCATAAAATTGCGTGACAAGGCAAGTATATTGTGCAACATGGCTGCCTGATGGAGATGCTCTCAACAGTCCCCTCATAGGCAGGGTCATGTGTTGTCTACCCTAGATAGACCTTCGCATGAGTAATCCAACAATCTTACAGGCGTCCGCTCGCAGGAGAACTTCCTCGTCAGCTGGTGTTATTGTAGACATTAGTAAGCAAGAAGAAGTGAATCTTCGTTCCGCCATGCGAGATTACACCACATCATACTTCCTCATCCAACTGCGGAGGTTGTCGTTCGTGCTGTTGACATGGCTTTCTTCCTTAGCTTGATCAGTAGAATGTCTTGCGTGGATGCAGCCGAGTTAGGGAGAGCGTGCGAATCACATACATGGAGGTGCATGTTGGGAAGGACTCACTCGATATAGCTTGTAGGTGGCTTGCCATCCTGTTAAAGCAGCACTGACGCGGGGTACATGACTTGGTCACTTTGCTGCCCAACCCAGGAGATTTTCATCTCAAGGGTTCACCCAACGGTAAGTAACATAAGGCAGAGCAGACTCAGCGAGCTGTTAATTCCTTAGACCAGCATGGAGAACCCCGACTCTGATACACCGTAAGCTCATCTCACTATTACCTATGAAGACGAGAACCTAATGTCGATTGCTTGAATCTGCAGTGTCCTTTCCGCCCTCACCCTTCAGGCTCTGGGCGAATTCCGTGCCGAGCAAGCACTACAATTAGACTGTTTTGAGCAGCTGAATTCTAGTCATGATCAAGATCCCGCGTGGAACCAGGCCAAGGCCTTATCCATGGACATGTTTCCCGAGGACTGGAACGCCAGCCAGTTTTGGGTGGGCCAATCTACTCACTGTACATCTCACTCTATTGTTCCTGACCCGGTAGTGACAAAGTACGACACTGCATCTGCTACCCTCCTCGCCCAACAGCTTCTTAACGGCATGACCTCTGACACTTGTATCGCAATAATCTCGACTCCAAGTGTTTTTGTGCAGTTGAAGAAGCTCTTAGTGATTATACTTACCATTCCCTGGCCCCTATTTTACTGACTAGCGGAAGCTGGAGGAGGAAAAACAGCCAGCCAGAGTATCTCTCTTCGAATGGGATGAGCGGTTCCGCGTTTTCGACGAATTCATTCCTTATGACTTCGAGAAACCTGAGAAACTTGACCGTGAGCACATCGAGTCTGTATGCCATATAGGTTCGACCATTCAAAGCTAACCTGCCACCTATCAACCTAGCTTCTTTGAAGGGCGTCTTCGATCATATCCTCTACGATCCACCATACCACAGCGTGGACTGCCAAACCAAAGGTTAGCACCAGTCAACGTTGATATTTTTGTTTCACCCCCTGTCATGGTGGAAAGCTGATTTGAGAGGAAATATAGTCGCTGCAACAGTTTCATGGCTGCTCAAGCCTGCCACGACTCGCACAAATACCGTCCAAGATAGAGACAGGTTGCACAACAACAGGATTATCATCTGTACAGGCGATACAATGGCGGCTACTATCACGAAGCTTTACCCGAGCCACTTTGCCACTACATTCTCGCCTTCTCATACTGGGCATCGTCTCAACAACCAGTACCGATGCTTTGCAGATTACGAATGCCAGGACTGGACCAGGCTGTCAGAAGCATGAAGAAGCCGCCACCTACTTAGGCGACGCCTGAGTTCTGGGTCGGTCGAAGCAGGATTCAATTCAAGTACAAACTGTCGTCCAACTGAGTTTGTAGCTGGCTTCGACAAGTCCCCCACCTAGGATATGGCAGCCGCCCCGGTCTGCCATACCATGAGTTGAATCACCACCGCCAGACCTGTCACCATAAGCTCGTCCATAAACATTTTGTTATCTACCAGCTGCTGGCCAAACATTTCGATCTGGCCGATCCGAGTTCTGGACCAATTTGCTGCCGAGAACCGAGCCACCGTAACGCCATCATCCTCGTGTACACACTCAAAGTCCATCGTCCGCCAACGGTTCTTGCCCTTCCACTTGAAGGATTGAGAGGGGTAGATTTGTGACGAGTATGAGTAGCTCGCTGAAAAGATCCCTCGGTGGTGGAGCGTTAGGTTGGCGCCGTTGATACCGACGTCGATGTCTGTCTTGAGACAATGAAATACAACAGTCGCGATCTCGATATCTGTCGCAATAGGAGATCTAGTCCGGATCACCATATTCGGCTTTTGCCAGCGCAAGTCTGCAGTGTACACCTCGGTGCCGTTGTCAGTGTCGGTGACTCGAACGGTTTTCGCCTTCCAATTTGTGTACTGCAGTTGGAACCTGCGGCAGGGTACTTGGGCAGGATGTGCTTGCACAGGGGAGGCATTCATGGCCTCTGAAGTCGAGTCATGCTGGTAGACATAAGCAGGAGGTGGTTGATTCTGTCAAGATTTATTCTTGTTAGCCTCGATTTCATGCAATCACGACTGTATTATACCATTCCAGCCAAACCTTCTCTTCCAGTAGTTGTGTACGGGCTTACCTCATGCTCTTCAAACAGGTTGCGATCTTTCATATCCCCTTCTTTTCGATCCTGGAGGATGGTCCTGGCAGACATTCTCGGAGTCTTCGGCGTTGAGTCGGCGAGTCGGTGAATATAGAGCGATTCGGAGTGACTGTGAGCTACCTGATTCTCCTCTCAGAACAATATTGTGAGAGTGTTCCCTTCGTTATATGGTACAAGTCTCAAGTATGTAGCATCTTGATCTACATTCGCAAGGGAGGCACTGCCATGCTTGGCGTAACCACAATTAGAAAGCCCATCAACGTCATATAATACTGTACTATGCGTAAGTGCATGCATATGTGTCTCTTGGTGAGACTAACCGTATCTAGTTCTATGCCGCGCTCCCAAGCCTTGTGGGTCTGCGTTTAAACATACATGTAGTAATGACTAGCGTTGACCTAAGGCAATCAAATGCGAATATACTATATGCATTCACAACTTCAACCTATGGAATCTCTTCAATATGACTGTAGGGGAGATTTAAACATGTCTCGTCCTTAAACCCCTTCAACTCGCAGCCCCTCAACAGCTTCGCCACCTTCTCCGCCATCAGAAATGGCGTATTAACATCTTTCTTACCATACCGTAGCGTCACATCCTTAGCACACAGCTCTTCGAGCCGAAACCCCTATTACACGTATAAGCTGAAATCCCACGCCGGTCCTTTACACCCTTGCCCAAATACCTCCCTCATGCTCTCCACTACAATGTCCCTGAACTCCAAATTATCCAAACACCTAACATCCCTCTCACTCTTGCCCTCTACACTCTTCATAAAAGTGTGCTCGAAAGCGTTCTTGTCCCTATTCTTTGCTGCGTCGCCAAATTTCCCATCGAGCACCTTGACAATCATCGAAGACGGTAGTTAGGTCCCCGTAATTACCAAAGCCTTGACTCCAGACGACATGCCTTGTATCCCAACCGTCAACGAATATATCCCTAATACGACCAAGGTTCCTAGCGGCCTCGCCCGCGGGATTTCCTTCATGTACGCTACTATATACGGAGCTCCTTCCGAGTCGCCTTCTATATAGAATTAAGAAATGTTAAGGTGGTCAATGAGCGTAAGAACATCAATAGGCTAGTCGAAGATTCGACGTGAGGGCCGGAAGGTGGTAAAGCCCCACTCCCGGGCGATCAATAGAGATCATGTGGAGAGGTGTTGGTATTTGCTTGCTCTTAAAGTCAATAAAAGCCGCTTCAATGCGGGAGCTAGGGAAGCCATGGCAGCACAAGATTATCGTTGCAGGGGCTTTAAGGGAAGGAGGGGACCCGTAAGTTGCGTCACTAGGTGTACGACTATCAGGGAGTGTGAAGGTGTGGTAGCTTCTCGTGTCTCGTCTTCTGGTAGAATATATACACCGGCTATCGCTTGTCTGGCAGATTCTACACGGTTGAACACCGTTACACTGGACACTGGGTGCGGTTGGCCCAAAGCCACTCTTCGTATCATTGAATATGTACCTTCGCCTTCTTGACTCTGCAACGATCACATCTATAGTACGCTGATCTCTGATATGATCGAATTTAGCGCGGTCTTGGATGCTGTTTTCCTGTTATGCATCGAGATTGAGAGGTGATTTGCACGAGAATGCATTCAGCTGGTGAATCTCAAAAGCATCAATGAGACCTTTCGGCGAATAATCAGTAAGTTGCAGCCGGCACAGTTCGCGGGGGCTACAGATACATACCTTGTACGGCCGCATACATGCCCAGTCCACACATGGATAACGACGCCAAAGCATAGATGGTGTGCCAGATGTTGATGGCGACTTGCAGATAGCCACCACTGAAATAGCCGCGAACCAATCGTTGGACCGTTGTTTCATTCCTCAGCACTCGGCCAGTATTGACGTCAAAGCCTTCGCCAATACTGGGACGTATAGCGTTTCTCTGCATGTCGTAGCCCAATGCAAACAGTGGTGGCATGGTGTATGTCAAGGTCAACAATAGAGATGCTGAGATGACACTGACAAACCCACCGAAGTCTGGTATCGCCGCAGCTATGATGAATGCTATCATCCACCAAACCGGAACGATAGCAGCGTAAAGGATTTTGCCCATCTTGGACGTCAAAGATGGGAGATTGAAAGCGTCGGCCAAAACCGAGTTGTAAAAGACCTTGACTCCTATGTTGCCATATAGACCGGCACAGATCAGTGCGGCGAGCAACGAGAGCATGTTGCCTGCTGTTTGCCATCCATATGCGCTGACGCCTTGGTAACTGGGATAAAAGCTGTACTGGCCCTGGAAATGGTAGATGAAGCACCCATAAACGAGGTAGACGGTGTAAATGAACATCTGAGCACCCCACATGGCTTTGAGAAAGTCACGAGGTCGCCTCATCTCGGCCAAGAATTCCACGAACAGCTGCACGCCAGCATAAGCCAAAACACCAGACAGGAGACCGTTGATCGAGCCGACTAGACTGTTGGAAGGCAGACCTCCATAATGCATGACGGATGGATAGTTGCCGGCGGCATCGGGAGTGATAGTAGAAGGATCGACAGCACTTCCAGCCGATCCCAAAACTGCAATCTTATAGTTCGGGGGCGAATTCGCGATCACACCCATGCTGATGAAGATGACCAGCATATTCAACCAGACTGCTAGATTGGCGACCAATCCATATGCTTTGAGTGTACGGATCTGCGAAAGACAGAAACCCGTGCAAACAAAGAGGACTGGGCAGACAACGTAGCAGAGGCGATACCGGGAGACGGAAGAAATGTTTTGTCCATATTGGATGGTAATTTGGCCGAGGATCAAAAGCACTGCAAGTGCTTGTGCGAAATTGGTGATATGACGAGCGGTTCGTCCCCACGTCCGGAAACCGAGGTCACCATAGTTCCGCGCTGGGAATTCGTAACTGTCGACACCGAGGAAAACGCGCCAGACCAGGTAGCCCGAATAGCCTGCGAGGAACCCAAACACAGTGTACAATGCGATGCCTGACTTAGTCAGTCTGCGAGGCTGCCTCAGGGTGGGCTCCCTTCTGGTATGGAAAAGGGGAGGGGGTTTCACTCACCTGGCCCCCAGCCTAAAGTGCCGAGTGAGTAGGCCACGCCAAATGGGCCCAATATATCGGTCGTAATCAAGTAGAAGCCTATCCAATAAGTGATTCAGCTGATTGGCACCCACTCGGAATATATATGATATAAGTACTTACAAGCGCCCCAAGAAGCTGTGCGAAATGCCCGACTCGCATTCGTCCACTCCTTGTCTGAGATATCAAATTTGGTTTGAACTTTTGTCGTTGAGGTTTTGGCTGAAATCACAGGCCCGGTTTGCACAACAGCCTCGTCTTGAGCTGAAGGGCGATTGGAGGATCGCCCCCACGAAATGACCGACCGCCATCCCTGTGTTGGGTTTTCGGAGCAGGAATCTTCTTCCCTTCTTGTCTTCTGTGCATAGTAGTGATACTCTTCAAAAGTCACGTTGGAATCATGTAGCTTCCGGTGTTGAGGTTTGATGAGTGTGGTGATTGTCTCACCCTCAGTCGCATTTTGTGAGGTTACAACAGCCTCAGTTGGTTGAATCTTGTCATCCATAGTGCGCGCTTCCAGGATCAGATGGAACAACTTTTTCTGTTCAGCACAGGCATAGTTATGTGAGTTATGTTAGTTTTATAGAATTTGGGGAGGCACAAGGGACATCATAAACGATGCCGAGGTCTGTGCGCTCCAAAGAAGTACGCTGTGTGGCTGTTGTACTCCGTAGAACACACGGCTACTCAAAGCGAGATAAGCCAGATTAAATTTCAGGAGCCGGCTTGCATGGCTCGAAGCTCTGATAAGTTGATCCCCATACTCGACTCCGGGTTAGAAATTCACAGTTAGCTCGCGGGACGCACTATTTGAGGCAACTCATCTACGTCTACGGAGTACGTTAGGGGGAAGTCAGCCGGTACGTGGTGAAAGGTTGGCTAAGAATGTCATGATTCATCAACTGTCACCCATAGGCGAGATCGGTAGTGGTGATATGTGTGGGAGTCTAATGTTCGCCTATTTTGACCTAAATCACGCCAAGAGTTAATTGTGGCAACTACAAACATACTGTATCTCTCTTCGGACTACTTGATGAAGGTTGTGTCATCCAGGCCATGTAGAATTATTGGCGTCAGGGAAGTTTAGATCCTAGTTTATTTGTTATACCCACTTTTGTGCGAAACTAATCTTATCTTTCCATATAGATTTAAAAGGTTCTATATCATCTACCTAGACCCCTTGTTGTTATACGATTCGGTTATAGAGTACTCGGTCCAGAATACTTGCTATACCAACCTTTTACGATCCTACTCTTATCTCGCTTAACTGCCCTATTCTGAGTTGAATCCTTAATCGAAAAGTGTACGGAGTATTCGTTCTCAACCCCTTATTGTCACGCATGAGTGAAGCCTATCTCGCTTGCAAAACCCTGTTGTATGGTGGCAACTAGTTAGTTATTCTGTTTTGTTACACGCCACGATTCTTGTTCTACCATGAAGTCACTGTTCAATGGATTCTAGATTAACTGTTTCATTAACGATATCGTTTCATTTTGAGTGCCTCGGAATCAGTGGGCGTATTGACCACCGACTTTTGTTGCTCGAATCTTTCGGCACTGTGTCACTTCTCATCCACTACCGAGTCACGGCCGTTACATCACAGTATATTGTATCCTTGTCCTCCATCAAGCATCATTAGTAGCTCCTTAACTCACTTTGCCTCTGCCTAGCAGCTCACATTTTTGGCGCATCTATCAAAAAGATCACCTGGCCTCTAGAGAAATTGGGGATTGAAAATGCCGGAGTGCGATATTCTCGTTGTGGGTGCCGGTTGCTTTGGACTTTCGACCGCACTACATCTTCGGCGAAGAAATATGGGCAAAGTTATTCTTCTCGACCGCGAGCCGTTACCCTACTCAGATGCCGCTTCGCAAGACTCTTCGAGGATCATTCGTGCAGATTATCCCGATCCTTTCCATGCAAAACTCGGACTCGAAGCGATAGAACAGTGGCGCCACGATTCAACTTTCAGTCCTGCCTACCATCAGTCGGGATTTCTTGTCGCTGACATGCCAGGAGGGACCTTTGTGCGCAAGTCACTTCAAACACAAAAGCAACTTGGTCACCAGAATGTTCGGATGATGGATTTTTCAAATATAAAGAGTAAATGGCCCGGATTATCTGGAAGTTTAGATAATGGTTGGGACCTATACTACAATCCAGTGAGTCCTTGCTCAGTCGAGAAGACAGAACAGACCCATTTTCTGATGCTTTTTCTGTTGTAGGAGGCAGGCTGGGCCAATGCACGACAAGCAATGCTCTCAGCTCTGAGCGAGTTCCGGGCCCGAGGAGGTGAATTTATCAGCGGACCGCCAGGGGCTTTGGAAACTCTTCTTTTCAAAGACACAGAGTCAGTACCGAAAGTTGTAGGAGTTCGTACAGTCGATGGCACGTCCTACCATGCTCCCAAGGTTGTCCTTGCGACAGGTGCACATGTCATCAAGCATGTCAAAGCAGGCTCTATGGTTGCATCAATCGGGTGGTGTGTGGCACACTGGCGGCTGACCCCAGATCAGCAGGCAGTATGGGCCAATCATCCTGTCGTCAACCTTCATAACCATGGCTACTTCTTTCCTCCAGATTCCACTGGATTGATGAAGATGGGCTGGGGCATCATCTCATACACCAATGCGGCTGGGCCATGGCTGAGTGTAGGTATTCCAACAGAAGCTGAACACGGCATCCGCCACATATTGAGAATGGTGGCACCGAGTCTTGAGCATAAAGAATTCTTTGATATGAAAATATGCTGGGACGGGATGGTGGGGGATCGCCACTTCTTGATATCCCGTGTACCTTCCTACGACGGACTCGTCGTTGCTTGTGGTGGCTCGGGCCATGGGTTCAAGTTTCTGCCTATTATAGGCAGATATGTCGCAGACTTGATCGAGAGCAAACTGGATAGTGAGTACGAACAACGATGGGCTTGGAGAGAGCAGCATATTGAGGCCTTGACAGGGGCGATGAAAGGAAGATTGGTCAAGGAGTTGGCGGATGTCGTCCTCGGAGCGCGTCTGTAGAGCAAGGTTTTGAATATCTTGTTAATATGTGTGAAAGCAATCGCAAAAGTGATCCCTGGCTTCTGTAATTGTCACCTTAAATCCTTTAAGTATTCTACTCCCATATGCCTAAATCTTAATATCGATCTACAAATAAGGACGGTTTGGGGCCTTCGACTTGTTCATCCTCGCTAGTCTCTCCCCCGTAATCTCAAAGCAGTCTGGCAACAGAGTGTCCCTGAAGCTCATACCCTTGGTGATTTTGGCGACAGCTTCTGCGCAGGTGAGAATGTTCACCATACCTGACCAGGAACACATTAGCTCGATCCAGCAACTATCCTATAAGATGTGTATGCTCACCAAATCCATTGAAGCCTGCGCAAATGAACTGGCCTTCTCTTCCAGGCAAACCCCCGACGAAAGGTACAAAGTCGGTCGTTTCACCAATGATTCCGCACCATGAATGTTCGAGGCCTTGGCCAAGGATGTTGTTCATGCTGGCTCCGGAAAGAAAGCATTTTTGGAAATTGAGTACTCGGTCTCGAGCCACTTCCATGTTGGCAGAACGATCATCCATTCCAATAATGGAGTCCAACGACTTTTGAGACAGGGTCGGGTTGACCAACGAACCACCGAGGACTATACTGCCATCCCCAGGGCTCTGAATCAGACTGTACCCATGCAGTAAGGCGTAATTGATGCGATAAGTTTGATGCAGCTTCCTGTCCCCTGACAGCGCAGGCGGTGGAACCACACTTTGAGCCTGTGCGGTTTTGGGGGTGATTAAAGGCAAAAGCTCCGGGAGAAGCAATCCAGCATAGGCGTTGGTGCAGTGTATAACTTTCGAAGTTGTAATTGTTCCGCGGCGAGTCTGGACATCCCATGTTGTTGTTGCCGGCTCCACAGGTGACAATACTAACGATGTTTTTGGACTTTCCTTGATTTTCAGCGCGGGACAATGGGTGTAGATTGTGACACCTTTTGATACTACCGATTGCAGTATCCAATGTGTTAGTAGTGCTGGATGAACAGAAGCCGCTGGCCACTCATACGCTGCCAATGCCCCAGATATCCTGGACGCAGTTTCTGCCGTTGGGCCCTCATGAACCCGAATGTCCGATGTATCTGCCTTGGCCTGTTTCAGCCGTTTCAAAGCAGAGGCGTTGTAGTCGACAAAAAACGGCGTCATACAGACATCGAGAGTTGTCGTCTTGTCGAGGTCGCACGGAATTTTGTACTTTTCAATGAAATCCGTGAGTTTCTCAAACACTTGACGTTCGCTTTCAATAATCCTGACAGCCTGTTCCACCCCATGGATTGCAGCCTGTCTTGTAAAGCTTCGTAAGGGATCTGAGAAACGAATCAGCACGTATGCGCAAGTTAACCCTCGTTAATAGCACGAACTCACCGGGGCGTATATGGCCCGCGTTGCGCGACGTCGCGCCCCCAGCTAACTCTCGGGCCTCAAGTATTAACACATCGCTACCTTTGACCCCATTTTCGAGCAGGTTGAACACTGTAAGTGCTCCTGACAAGCCAGATCCGAGCACCACGTATTCAGACTTGCTTCTCACAGGCACATTCCTGTTTACATTGAGGAGTTGGCATGCACGTGTAGACCGCTGCCACTTACTTAGACATGGATTGTCCATAGGTGCCGCTAATGATGCAAGCTCAGGGGTCGAGGGTGAATCAAGTGTAGCTGCCATTGCAAAACCTCGTTATTTGCTCAAGAAACACTAGAATGACCGGAATCAGGGCGATCTTGAGATGGCTGCTGTGTGTAGTATAATCTTTGGACCGACTTTTATAAGGAGGCTAGTTAACACGGTAAGACACGGTCTGGAATTATAAGCCATCTTCCACATAATATATCCTGCGACTGTGAGGTTAGTGACTCCATAATGCTCTCCACTAAATATTTGATGTGAGTATACAGTGCCAGAATCTCGCTTATAGTTCCTTGACCAGAAGAACCCTAGATTTTCGATATGATTTCGGGAAGCTAGATTTGAGATCTCGCATATGAACGCCGTTTGAAGGACTTGGAGCTCCGTAAGAGGATGAGACTTCGGGTGGGGAGAACATGCCGCTTGGTAACTTGAAATGGTCACTCGACCGGAAGGCATCAGTGTACATCAAAAACACAAACTCTGTATACACAATATCCGGATAGTGCCTAATGTAGGATGTAATTGATTGTTGTTTCATATCAGTCATTCCTGGGAGATTGGGTTTCCACTGGTTTGCAACATGTGACACTTATCTCGCTTGGAGCTTCTTTAGTATCACAACAACAATCTCGCAACGCCTTTCTTGATGCGAGTATATGGTGAAGAAAGTTGAGGTTGGCCCCGCCAAACACAGGATCCGTTACATTACAAGCATGACTTGGTGCTTTATACAGTGGGCAGAGACAACGTAGACCGGAATCAATGTCTGAGGCGTAATCTAAACCTAAGAACCTACTTAAGTTAAGCACAAGGTCTGCCCAACAGCAGCCATGGCGCGGTCCCAAACAAAGCCCACGCCGCCAGATGGAATTTCGACAAGCGTCATCGGCAACTCTGTCCTCAAATCTGCTTGTTTCCACACCCACTCAACGACTTTCTTCACTGATGGTACGTGTCCGAAGCGTCTGGCTCCTTCGATCTTCTCAAATTGGCGCAAAATCGAGGACCGATCTTGATCCGCGGTGGCATGACATCCCGCAATGAAAAGTGGCCATACCCAGCTTGCTCGTTGACCGGTTTCATCCCATGACATTTGGTCCAGTATGTTGATGATATGGTCGACGTGACTTGAAGCGAATTCTCGATCTAGGGGACTGGACTTTAGATATCCCAGCAAAATCAATGCTGCATGCCAGCAAGCTTCCGCCAATTGTGTGGTAGCATTGACAAGAGGCTGGGTATCAGTGTAATCCTCCCGTGTTGCGGAATGACTGCTTACAACTTGGACAAGAGTATCCAGACGATATTGTGTCGAAGAAATCCAATTCTGTCGCTCGGCCGCGAGAAGATCACTACTCCATGCTTGAGTACGGATTGTACGACAGATCTCAAGTGTTATAATCATGAGTTCAGTTGAACAACCGATGCTGGGATTGATCTCGTTGGTGGGATTCTGTATTTTTTCCAGCCAGAAGAGACTGTTACTTAGGAGGTATTGCCCCCGGTCTGAGGTCGGGAGTGCTGCGTATGCTCTAACATTGTGTTCTGCAAAGTATTGAGCAATGAACGACAGCACCGTGTTGTCGTGATACACGTCCTCTGCGAGATATGTTGCCTTGATAATTGAGTTTGCAGCGTCCAGGTGCTTCGTCCACTCAGGCCGACACCCATCAGCTACATCGCGAAGGCAAAGTAACAAAACACTGATTAATATCTCCGTCTTGGAAGTTTGGGGAGACACTGAACGCAGCAACTGACCAAATTGACGCAGTGCAGAGCCCCGACTTTCCAGAGCAGTAGTGCGCCAATGACTACTGTGTAGTTGCAAGAACGAAGCAGCAACAGCAAGCACACATTTAAGAACGAGGGTCGAGGAGCTTGCCAGGGGAAGTATGATATGTCCGTAACCGTGGTCGCCGTTGCCTCTGAGCGCAAAGGCGGGGCACATTCTGTATACGTCTTGCATATATTAGTTCCATATCATGGTCGCTTTACTCGGTGTACCTACAAAACTCAAGCAGGTGCAAAGCCTGACCGTCCACTTGCACCCAGAAAGCAGGAGAAGTCACCAGGGTATTCACTGCGGCAGCAGGAAGACTTGGACAATCCTCTTCCTCTTGTGAGAGTGACGAAAGGTCTTGTGCTTCATGGTGGTGATTCGGTAATTCAATATCCTCTGCTGGGACAGACGATCGACATGTGACCGAGTAGAGAGGTCGAAAGTCTTCAAAAGTGGTATTGATGAAGCTGACCTGTGAACGCGTGTCAAAAAAGGCGGCCCCTTGTGGTGCCTCATGGGGCTGCCCGTTGCGCTCGACTTCGATTCCATGGGCGCCCAAAGGGACATTCCAGGTCAGAGTCACAGCATACGAGCACTCTCTTCCAGTAGCAATGCAGCGTTGACAGCGCGGTTTCGCCTCTGGTTATGTTTAGTTGTGACCAATGTCTATCCTAGGAGTAAAGGAAACTCTAGACCCACCATTACATTTCAGCTTCTGCTGACGACAAGCACTACATCCTGAGCGTGATCGAGGGACTTTGCGGCGGCCGTAGAACCTCTTCATGGGACCCATGCTGAGCTTGGGCTTCCTTAGACATTATACAAGGTAGAGTGTCGCGTGTTCATAGGAAGAAAGAGAACATTATGACCATGAGAGGTGCGATACTGGCCCCCCCGGCTCTTACCCAGCTCTTCCCCGCTCCATTTCGATTCCGACCAATCATTGCAGGTTACGGGCTTGCTCTCATCATTCCGTTTAGCGCGAGAGATTTTTATGGCTTATCTCGCTTATGCCTACTTGATAAAATCCCAAAATCGCCCATTATGGAGACTTGGCCATACCCCTGGGGTAGCAAATGTCAAACAGCACGCTAGCAGCCGCTGGATGTATGCAGTACGAGTACCAGCAAAAACACGCTGAAAATGGGTATACGTGGTAGATATATGTAGGTGCTCTAATTTTCTTTTGAGTCCATATTCGATACTTTGTAAAAATCTGTTATCTTTGATGAGAAAAAAAAAGATATGGCGACTTTGCCTAATTTTAGCACTGGAACGGCTGGCATCACGAAAGGTCTCATCACGCCTCTTGAGGGCGGACCGGAGATACCGTACGCAATTCTCGAAGGTGGCCAGCAAGGCGGGCCCGTATTGCTTGTGACTGCAGGAGTTCATGGCTCCGAAGTGTCGTCAATCGAAGCCGCTCTACGTCTGATGCGTTTGGACGTGGAGGGTTTACATGGAACTCTGATTGTTCTCCCAGTGGTCAACATCACAGGATACCGGTCTCGAAGCATCTACATCATGCCTGAAGATGGCAAGAACCTCAATCGACAATTCCCAGGCCGTGCGGACGGCTCTGCAAGCCAACGCCTGGCATTCTGGATCTCGGCAGCCTTTCCCAAGTGTGATGCATATCTCGACCTTCACGGCGGCGACCTTGATGAGGATCTCAACCCTTTCGTCATCTGCAACTCAGACAGCAAATGTTCAAGAGAATTGGCCGTAGCACTGGGCTTTGAGACGATTGTTGCCACGCACGCGGCGAGGCGAACTGCCTCGGCAGCCGCAGGACAGCTCGGAATACCAGCTTTGACTCTCGAAGTTGGCCACAACGGCATTTGGTCTGAGGACACCGTCGCAATGCATTTTGATGGCGTCTTAAGGGCCATGGCCCACCTTGGTATGCTGAAGTTCAAGCTCATGCCCGCGGCAGCACCTTGCTCTCAACCGAAATTCGTCAAGCTATCTGTTCCTATAGCGCCAGTCGATGGGTTTTGGTATCCTCGGATTGCAGTGGGTTCACAGATCACAGCAGGAGACACTCTAGGAGAAATTCGCGATGCGTTCAATAACGTACAAGCCACTTGCACCAGTGATGCTACGGGCGAAATACTTTATCTGCTGACGAGTCTATGCGTAAACGCAGGCGATCAACTGTTAGGGATAGCCTATCCAGAACCCGCATGATCACAAACTTGATTTTATAGAACTAGAGCTGAGAAGTCGCTCCATTGTGTTAATCTAAGAGTTGGCTCGTATACGAGGCCTAGATTTTAGAGCGAAGGCGTATCCTTATGAAATCAGTGGGTAAAATTCCTGGTCCGCTCGTTTTATACTATCAACGTGTAGTTTTGGGAACTTTCCAGATTCTCGCCACCATATGCTCGCTGTTTTGATTAGGGCCACTTTTGCGCTATCGGGTCTATTAAGGGTTTTCTCCCCTTGAGGCTGCCATGTGAGTATTTCCTTTTCTTTGGAGCAGGATTTTGTCTTCGGCATCGGTGACGGCATAGCTGGTCTCATCACGCAGCCCGCGCGAGGCTGGAAGAAGAACGGGCTGGTTGGACTGGCCGAGGGGACCTGCAAAGGATTGCTCGGTTTACGCGTCAAATTCTATGCGGCCGCAAAAGGATTTGTCGGGTACCCGTTGAAAGGAATCGCTGTCGAGATCACCAAGGCTTTTTGGGGGGACTGGGGCCTTGTACCCATCCGATGGTCAAGGGCACTGCAAGGGGGCGTGGAATGGTTTCGGGCAACCGAGTGCGAAAGGGTTACAATCATCAGAGTGTGGGAGGTATTGGGGGTGAAGCAATCACACGAGACAAGGCGGAACAGAGTTAAGTCATCATCCTTCGGCTGACATTTGGAGGTCAACAGGGCTCCGGATGAAACAACACCGTATTCAGGTTCATTTTTACGTTCGTATTTCATGAATTGGAAATCTACTTCAGTGCCTGCTGCCATTGTCGGATGTCGAAGCGTTTGCCGCCCTGGGCCTTGAGCCAGATCCGCTCGACTTTCCCCGTCGGGGTTTTTTTCAGCTCGGGCACGAGCTCGATAACAGAGGGGACCTGGAACCGTGCCATGTGTCGGACGGACCAGTCGAACATGGCGGCCTCGTCGAGCGTGCTCTCGTCCCGCAGCTTGATCGCCACCTTGACGTCTTCTTCCGCCCCGGCTCCAAGTTCGGACGGGATGGCGAACGCCGCTGCCAGGACGACGTCGGGATGTCGGAGAAACTCTTCTTCGACCTCGGCCGCATTTACGTTCTCCCCGCGGCGCCGAATGAGGTCCTTGGCCCGCCCGACGAAGTAGACGTTGCCGTGCTCGTCCACCTTGGCGAGATCGCCCGTGTGCAGCCACAGATTGCGAAAGGCGTCGACGGTGGCCGGCAAGTTGCCGAAGTACCCTTGGAAGAAGGCGTTTGGGATGTCGCTGCGCAGGAGCAGCTGCCCTGGAGTGTTGGGGGCCACTTCGTTGTCGTCCGGATCCACGATGCGCATCTGGTAACCGCGGCGCAGCGTCCCACACGACCCCGGGACGCGGGGGCCCTGCTGCATGATCGGCAGACTGGCTTCGACACTACCGTACAGAGTGTACAGCGGATGGCCGAACCGCGCTTCATAGTCGGGCGCAAAGGCTGGGATGGGGACCCCCCACGCGAGCCGGACACGATGGTTTCGATCCTCCGGGCTCGGCTTTTGCTTGTAAGTCAGCGCCAGGGTGGCGCCCATGAAGTCGTAAACGGTGGCCTGGGTTTCCCGGATCTCCGACCAGAACCTGCTGGCGCTGTATCGCGCCGAGAGGGCCGCCGTCGCGCCCAAAAGGATGGCCGGGATTGTGGTCAAGGCGGTCGCATCGGCGTGGAACAGCGGGAAGGGGCAGTACAAGACATCGTCCCCCCTCAGCCCGAATGTTTCCACCAGGGCCATGGCTTGGAGAATGAAGTACTGATGCGAAAGGCTGCACGGCTTCGACTTCCCCGTCGTCCCGCTGGTGTACAGAAAGGCCGCCGTGTCTGAGGGTTTGACTGGTCGAGCCGACTTGACTGCTTCGCCCAATGTGTACAGTGTGGCGAGATGGTTGGGAGCCTGAGAGTCACCACCTTTGACGTATACTGGGAGAGGCTCATCGTCGTCGAGCTGGGTCGACTTGAGTACCGCGAGGAATTCGGCGTCCACGATGGCCACCTTTGCAGCGGCACTTTGGACCACGTGTTCGAGGGTCACCGACCTCAGCTCGACGTTGATCGGCACCCAGGTCGCTCCCAGTCGGTTGGTCGCCAGCCATATTTCCACCATCTGGATACTGTTCCGCATCATGACCAAAACCCGGTCTCCTGGTCCGATCCCGAGCGACGCCAGTCCACCGGCGAGCTTGCCAACCGACTCGTCCACCTGGGTGAAGCTGTAGTCCTTCCTGCCTGTGCGGACAAAAGTCCGATGGCCGAACTTCTTGGTGGCATGTTCCAGGGCGACGTTAATGTCTTTGATGTCTCGGACAGATGCGAGGTAGTCCTGACTCTGCTGATCCAGCCCTGCTGCATGTGGGCCAGCCTCCATCACGGGCAGAGCCAGCTGGCCATTCGACCGATGTTGGTCCTTTGAGTCTGCTTCAGCCATACGGCCAGTGTCAGCACCAGCACCAGGACCTTTTGCCCGCTGACTTCGCTTTGCAAAGTTCTCAAATGCTTTCGCTGCGTCACTCTGGGAAAAGCACCACGTCGCCACGTTAACCTCGTCGGCCAAGGCAGCCTCCATGTTTGTAAAGACCGACCTCTCCAAACTGGCCTTGGAGCTCCTGGCCGAGATGGCCGGTAGCTTTTCCAATTGAGAGGCCAATTCCAGCGCTCGGGCTTTAGGATCGTCCACTGCCTCGGTTAAGAGTCCGATCTTCAGGGCTTCTTCGGCTTCGACGAAGCGGCCGCGAAGAAGGAGTTCCTTGGCCTTGAGCAGGCCGACCATGTACGTCAATCGCAAAGTGATGCCGCCCGTGGCGGCATGGCCGATGGGGACTTCGGGGAACTTGAACTTGAGGTTAGGCCCGCCGATGACAAAGTCCGCGGCGAGGGCCAGCTCGGCTCCGCCCCCGATGGCAAAGCCGTGGACGGCCGCGATGACCAGGGCCTCGGACGACGACGTGAGCCGAGTGATGTCCTGCAGTCGGGCGAAGGACTGCCGGAGCTCGTCGGTACCGCCGGTTCGTGGAGCCAGTGTTTCCTTCAGATCTTCGCCGGCACAGAATGACCGGTCGCCGGCGCCTTCGAGGACAATTATTCTCCTGCCTTCGGCATGGGCGGTGGCCAGGGCATCCACCAAACCGTTGAGGAGGGCGACGTTGAGGGCGTTGAGCGATCTCGGTCTGTTCAGCGTGATCTTGACGATGTTGGTCGACGGATGGGACACCAGGATTGGGGGCTCGACTGCCCGTGGTGGTTGTAGTGATCCCATCATACGGTATGTATGGTATCCAGGGGGCAAATTTTGGCTGTGGTTGGGTGTGAACTGGTAAGGATATACTTGAGTGTTCCACCCCAAAGCTCTAGTCACTGGGATGATCACAGGAGAGTTGAAGACAATTCAATCCTATCCCAAGTGGGTGCTTTCCCCTTGTCTTTATATTAACAAGTTAGCAGTGACAGTCCGAAAATACTGGAACACTTGTTCATCGTGCTTTCATCTAGGCATCTATATTGGTCCCAATCGTAACCGGCCAGGACATCATCCACCTTGTTCTTGTCAGGCTTTCAGTGGAGTGTGGGGTTCTGTCTACTACTGTACGGAGTTGTAGTACACTCCGAACCAGTCCTTGAACACTGTGCACGATCAGGGACCATCTGGATCAAACCCTTTTGGTCTTTGAGGGATTGAAATGCTTTTCGACCTGATCTGGGCAAAAAGTGCATCTTATAGCGACGAGAGGTGGACCCGATCAAATAACACGATCCCTGGCTGACCGACCCACATTTCGATCTAGTTGTATCTTGAGAGCTCCCGAGAGTTGACGACATGGACAGGGATATGGATCCTGGGTAAGCCTAATCGTCCCATTTCCATTGTCTAGCACCAGGTCCCCGCCTGTTGTTTTCTCTGAAGAATAATGATACCTAGTAAGTACGTATTACAGGTGTGTGTGTGTGTGTGTGTGGAGGACTCGTTCAAGCCCCGAGCTCCCCTTCCCCTTCATGGCAGCTCATACCGGCCCGAAATTGACTGTCCTGGACATACGTGTTTGTCACATTATGTCCATCACCGTGGATAACCGCCGGAGTCACCGGTTCGACTGTACCGCAAATTTCCTAGTCCCAGCAAGAAGATAAGACAATTTACTACTAGTTTGGATGCCTGTGCATATTGTATGTCGCAGAAAATGGTACACACCTAGGTCGGTGGCCTGTCCTACCACTCGGCGAATGTACACGCCTTTACCTGGTTCATCGTACATAACCCAGCGGTCCCAAGGACTATGCTTGTTTTTGGATTTTGTATTTGTACAACAAGCAAATCGCACCCCTAATACAGGTGTCGTTTTATTCATCATTCAGGCTTTGCTAGGATCTCGCACAACAAATATGGGTAGCTCACCGAACCAGAACCAAGAAGAGCCAGTGGCCACACAAGCTCCTCCTTCTCTAGCCCCATCTCTCCAAAAGACAGAAGAAGAGGTAGTAGAAGGACGTCTACAGGCAGCAGTGGTTAAGTCGGTCACGCGACAAAAATTTGAAGCCGAAAACAAAAACATGGCGACGCGAACACGGACACTCCTCAAAGTATCGGCGTCGGCTCTGCCCAGCCATCTCACAGCCAGCACGCTGTCGGGGCCGTCACGCATCTCCGTACCGCCGATAGTCCTGATTGACGAGACCGCCGGGTCGTTGCTCGCCTTCTACCATCTCGGGCCCCAGCTGTCGGGCCACGTGGGCCTTGTCCACGGCGGGTTCCTCGCCGTCTTGTTGGACGAGTGTATGGGCCGGGCGTGTTTCGGGCGCCTGCCGGAACGGATTGGCGTCACGGTGAATCTGTCGATGAACTACAAAAAGCCCGTCAGGGTGGACAGCGTGGTCGCGGTTCGAGCCGTGACTGATCGCATCGACGGACGCAAAGCTTGGGTCCAAGCCAGCATCATTCTTATTGAAGAGGACGAAGAAGGGAAGGGCATCGAAAATTCTCATATAGAGGAGGAAAAGGATGTCGCAGTGGAAGCAACTGCTCTGTTCATCCAACCGAGATGGGCGGCAAGCATGGAACCCGTGGTGTAGTAGTACCTTGTAATACAATATGGGTATATATTACATACAACTTCGCCTCGCTCAGCAGTTCTATATCAATAGAACAACCACGTCCAAGTCACGCATGACTTCTCTCCAGTCTACGGATACCACACCGGGATCTGCCGCCAAATCGGTAGCCACGTCTTTCCTCCTCATCCACACCTCTTCGACCACCTTCTTGATCAGCAATCGACTCCCGAGTCCGAATGAAAGAGCATAGTCCAGCCAGGACCGCGCCAGCAGCATGTCTTCATCACTATACGCCTCCACCGCGGCAATGAAAGCCGGCCACAGCGAAAAGTTATCATTGGTCTTCCCGAGGCGGTCGCTGCCTGAGAAGGCAGACGCATGCTGCAAGGCCTGGCTGATGTGCCACTGCAGATTTCGCGGCGGTAGATCGAAGATCACACGGTATAGGTAGATGTGTGCTGCGTGGATAAAGGCTTTGAGCTGGTGGTATACATGCGCTTGCTGAACAGGGCCGTCTTTCATGGGAAGAAGAATATCAAGGTCCTGACTTTCTGTCTCGAGCATTCTCTCGGTATCGCGCAGATTAGATAGAATGCTCATCAAATCGACGTCCAGCGATACACCTGCATGCTGCCTTTGGAGTTGGTGCGCAGCCAGGGTTATCTTGGATATCGCCTCGATGATGCTCTTGGTGGCCCCGATGGTGAAGCCGAATCCCGGCGTTGCTCTAATGGCTGACGAAAATGACGTTTCTTGAGTGGAGGGGCGATTGAATATGTCCTCGCAATCAACACTTGACAACGGCTCGTCTAACCCATCGGAGACTGTTGTTGCAGTTCGGTCGATAACTCTGATTATGTAGAGACTTTGGGTAGAGAAGCAGGCAAAGTCGGATTCTAGCCAGGGCTTCAGGCCCTGGGTCTGGGTTTGCTGGAGGAGTGACCATGCCCCGTTCAAGTGATGCCTCCATCTTCGTGATTGCCCACTATATGTCTACAGAAGTTATCGGTTAGACACTCACAGTATGTCGGAGAGCTTGGTAAGTGAACAGCAACATACCTCAGCCATCAAAAGTGTCATGATGGCGGCCACTGTCTCGGCATAATGGCTGTCGCGGTGACCAATGCTCTCCATTAGAAGACGGATTGTTCGGTTGTAGTGTTTCACCGCCAGCACTGACATGGGCTGCTTGTTGACCGACAGTTGCGAGAGATGGAAGGCTGAATGGGCAAGCAGCGCATTGTACAGAGCTCTCTGACCCGGTGATGAGCGATGCAGAGCCACTGCGGGATAAGACAACCTCCAGGGATTGCGAGAATGCTCGAAGGGCATCATGAGCAAGGCCACATGGTTGACGTAGTGGTGGAATAGATGCTTTTCTGCTGCACTTCGGTCAAAGTCATAGATCAAGTTATTCGGCGACGGCGACAGCGACAGCAAGGGTGACCGGGACTGTGACGGCGACGACGACGGGGTTTGTCGACCTGAGCTTGGGCGATACGTATGGATGTCGCCCACCCTGAACACAGTGAAGGGGTTCACCTCCACGGGGACTGTCCTCGATGAGACCTGAAAGCCGCGAGAGGATTTATAACCACTGCTCGCCTCTTCGTCGCAATGATCGATCAGGAAGTCCACGAGCTCGGAGTCGAGCACTTCGTAGGGTTTCCATGTGGAACCGCACAGCATCGTCCTGCGACCGTCGGACTTGTATGGTAGGTTGTCGTCTTCCACCCACACCAGTTTCGGTCCATATCCGCCGCAGGCCAGGCCGAGGCGTTGGCAGACGGAACAGACGGGCTTCTCCTCTGAACATTTCACTTTGCGCGACCGACACGTCCAACACCCGGTGAAGGTGCGATTGCGCTGTCGTGGCCACTTCGGGAGAGCGCGCGCTGGCACTCGCGGCTTGCCCATCGACTCGAATTCAGCATCCAGATTCGCGCGTTGAGGAACTCTACAGCGAGCATATATCTTTGGTTGATAAGAAAAGAACAGACAGCCATCCGACGGAAAACATACCAAGTACCGGGTTTGCCATGGCCAACCATAGTCCGTCGCTGAATGGCGTCCGTCGCTGAATGGCGTCCGTCGCTATAACTTTCTTTCCTGTCAAATCCGGTCTAGCTTTACTTCCTCTAGGACATCTCGGCTGATATGACTCATCGCCATCAACTTCATTTTTGTTGAAATAGGGTTAGACTTTCTACAGCCAAGACGATCTCTAAGCCTGATACGGGAAGGCGCTACTTGAAGGGGAGCCATATTGGTGCTAGCTCCAATACAGTATTTCTACATTGTATATGGCGAAAAATAAGAGCCGATGTTGTCTCGGCTAGTTTCTTTTGATCACTGGCTTCGGGAAGCTAGCCGTCTATGGTGATAGCCAGTGGGCTCAACATGAATAGAGGTATATCGACTGGGCTACAAGGATGATTCCTGCATCAGTGGCAGCTTATACCGACCCGAACTTGGACGCCAGACACACTCTCTCTTTAGAAACATAACTGTTATCTACGACAGCAGAGGGTGAACCCCTATATCTCTATACATCGATAATGGAAAGACATAGTGGTGTATCATATCGTGCGCTTGTCCACGCTTAGAAGTGGGCTGGCTGACTTTAGAGACGTCAAGATAGTCAGGGCAGGTTGGATCAGGTCTGGTCAGGTCAGGTCATGCATACCCCAGCCTGATAACTGTATCTTTGGCAAGATTTTGGTCAACGGACGCTGCGATTCAAGGAATCTATAAAAGGCAGACGAGTCTTTTCTTCCGACCACCTGTTGTAAGTATAGGTATACTATCACTGCACAAGTACACAAGATTTATGATCTTTACTAGTCTCGTTCTGGTCTTTGCGCTTACCACGTTCCAACTGTCCTTTGGGGCTACCTTCCAAGGATCAAAGGAAAAGAGTCCCCGGCCGATATGTCACTGTCCTTATCACCAGAAAAGACTAAGATGACCGTGAAAAGTCAAGAGCAAGCGGCAACCGTCGACGTCGGTGTCGAGATGCCGGTGTCTGTCGAAGAAGCTGTGGTGTCACAACAGGCGGGTCGTTATGGCGGTGTCAAACGGAAGTAAGAAAGACTTTTGACTAGAGATCTTGCGGCACAGAAAAAAACATTAGCAAGCAAGGACGCGTTCACTTCGCTGACAAATTTTGTGTTTTGTCGATATTACAGACTCAAGAGCCGCCACATCCAGTTCATCGCCCTTGGTGGCACCATTGGAACGAGTCTCTTCCTTGGAATTGGGTCGAGCTTGACAAAGGCAGGCCCGTTGAGTCTTCTTCTCGGCTTCATCATCACCGGCCTGGCCATTTATGGCATGGTAAGAGAGAGAAATACCGAGAAGACGCACGTTCAATACACCGGAATCACTGACGATCTGCCATCGCAAAATTGACTAGATGCTCAGTCTGGGCGAGATGGCTACCTGGCTCCCAATCCCCGGCGCAATCCCTCAGTTTTGCACCCGGTTCGTCGATGATGCTTTGGGCTTTGCTGTTGGATGGAACGTACGTCACGAACCTGTTCACGTTCCATCCACCATTTGGAATGACTCTCGAGACTTTCTTTTGGCTAACATGGGTCTTTACAGAACTGGTACTTCTGTGCCATTGTGCTCTGTCTTGAGATCAATGCGGCGGCCATTATCATACAATACTGGGAAGGAGCCAGAAACATCACGGTATGGATATGTGGCGCATGCTCCCACCTCTCTCCGCCGCAAAGTTTTGCTGAGAAGATGACATGACCCCAACAGCCGGCCGCCTGGATCACCATCATCATAGTGCTGGTGCTGTGTCTGAACGTATTTGCGGTGGGGGTCTTCGGGGAAGCCGAGTTTGTGTTCGCCTCGTTGAAGATTATCACCATTGTCGGCCTGCTCATCCTTTCGATCGTCTTGATACTCGGTGGAGGACCTAGTCACGACCGGCTCGGCTTTCGCTACTGGAAGCACGGAGGTATGTTTCTCTGGCAGACATTCGCCCTCTTCCGCCCTCCGCCCTCGAAAAGACCCTAAACCAGCTGAAGTTGGTGAACTCGAGCGAAAGCTGACCGAGAGCCAATTCACTAATTCAATTCTTTTTCTCATCCTCCTAGCCATCAAAGAACTTTCCCCGGCTCAAGGTGCCTCCGGTCGATTCTTTTCCGTCTTCTCCGTCTTGGTGTACGCGGCCTTCACGTTCGGCGGGGTCGAGATGGTCGTGGCCGCGGCCGGTGAGGCGGAAAATCCCCGGAAAAACATCCCCAAGGCGGTCCGGAGGACGGTGTATCGGATCTTGTTCTTCTACGTCTTAGGCACCCTAGCCCTAGGCCTGATCGTCTCCGCCAACGACCCCCATTTGCTCCACGCCCAGGCTTCCGGGGCCGCCGGCGCCGCGCAGTCGCCGTGGGTGATCGGCATCACTAATGCCGGCATCACAGTCCTGCCGTCCATCATCAACGCTGTCGTCTTGACGTCGGCCGTGTCGTCCTCGAATGCCTTCCTCTACACCGGAAGTCGTTATCTGTACGCCCTTGCTCTGAACGGCCATGCCCCGAGGATTTTCCTCCGGTGTACCAAAGCGTAAGGCCCTTTCCACCCCAAACCCCCCGCCCAACCTTCCCGCGGTGGCGACTGCTGCTCTGCTGCTGAGATGATGAGGGTGATGTATGAGACAAGGTTAATGTTGACAATGATCTCTTTTCTTCCTGTCGCAGTGGCGTCCCCATCTATGCAGTGGGACTCACGGCTCTCATGTCCCTGCTGACTTACATGACCGTGTCGGTTTCCGGATCGGATGTTTTTCTCTGGGTAAGTCACAATCCCACTTCTCCCCCCTGTGACTCGAGTGTCAAAAGGTGGTCAAAAGCTGACGAACCAACCATGTCTGCTTGTCGCACGTACAGTTCGCTAGCCTGATCACCGTGGCATGCCTTTTGACCTGGATGTCCATCTGTATCGCGTATATTCGCTTTCGCAAGGCCCAAAGCGTCCAGGGATTCGAGATGGTCGATCTCGGACTCCGACCCCGGCTGCAGCCGTACCTCGCATGGGCATCACTGGTCTTTTTCGTGGTCATCGTCTTCTTCAATGGCTTTGAGGTTTTTATAAGAGGTCATTGGAGTGTCAGCGACTTCCTGACCTCCTACCTGGGAATTCCGTGAGTAGATATATTTATGACCACCTTTTGCCAAAAGAAAAAAAAGCCTACTAATTACCTGTTCTCTCCCACAGAGTATTTGCCGCCCTTTACGTCTTCTGGAAGTTGCTGAAGAAAACCCGTATTCATCCACTCGACCAGGTCGACCTGATCACGGGGAAACAAGAGGTCGACGACATGGACGGGTGCTGGCCTAAGGTTCAGCCTAAGAACTTATGGCAAAAGGTGTGTGTCTCTTTTCAAAGTGTTTCAATTCCGAATACTAAATCTCTTTTATCTAAATAGGTTTGGTTCTGGATTGCTTAGAAGGCCTACTATCCTACTCTATGGTACCCATCGAAGAAAACCAAGATTTTTTATACGATAGGTACTAAGGAATCTTAATTATCGAATATCGATTAGTACCTATCGTATAATCTCTCTTTTTTTTTCTTAATAATCTATCCTACACATATTAGGAGAGTGCGGAACGGAATGTGTTTCCGTCCCCCGTCCCCGCTAGGTCGGTGCGAAACGCATTCCGTTTCGTACCTCCGCCAATCGCCTGGCGGCGTAGTGGTCTCCACCCGACCACGAATACATGAATGCGTTTCATTGGTCGTAGGCACGATAGAGGAACGATTACCGATATCGATAGGACGC